AAAAAAACTATAACTGAGTTGCTTGCAAATTAAAGACGAGGCTTAAACTGTTGTCCAGAGTTGGCTCAAGCTGTGGTGATGGGCTTCAGAGTTCCTAGTGATGCCCCTGATTGTGAAGCAGAGGATCATTGTGGGCAGCCTCTTCGGACTTAGCCACAGTGTCAAGTGCTAAGTGCTTGATGTACCTCGAACAGAAATGACAAAGTTCAACATTTTATCCAAGAGTTCCTTTAACTCACCACGGAGTCTGGTGCAAATGTCACTCAAGGGAGAGCATGGAGCTCCTTAAAGTCCCTCTCTGATCGATTCATTTTACTGTTTAAAGTATTATCAGTGGTCATGATTGGGATTACGAAGTTTTGAGCCAAAATCATGTTACCTTTGTAATTTTCAGGGGGCTTTTCTTCTGCAGAGCTCCAGTAGGTCATGAGCAATTCACTTCTTAAGAGAAAATACAGCCTGAAGGATACTTTATGACTCTTATAAGACAATAATGAATTCATGTGTGTATTTCTAGTGTGTCCTGCTCTCTTATTGGCCTCTGTTTTATACTGTACCTATGTTATATGTTACCTAAATTTATTCCATTGGGTTTTGCCTTCATTGTGAAGAATCCATTTTAACAAAGTTGCTTTCCTTTGTCTTGTGTGACTGTGGAAGGTTGAAATAAAACGTGTTTGTTGTGTATGATAAAGCAAAATCCTCTTTTGCTCGCATTTGATACCGCTGCCAGTGAGTCTTCAAACAGATAGCTGTGTTTTCAGTAGATTCAGGAAAAGAAGCCCCTCAAACATAGTCCTCTCTTATGGTTCTTCAACGAGAGGTTTGTTGTCAACACTTCAAAGACAAAGAAGAAAAATGAAGGAAAAAAAAGGGTGCTGTGCTTGTTTGTGTTACAAGGACACCAGTATTAAACCTTGGTGAAGGTAATTTTTCATGGGGAGGACCTTGTAACCCTCCTTTCTAGTTCAGGTTTTTACAAACAGAACATGAGGACATCATGTTCAATCAACATCTCATCTGTCCACGTTTAAAAAGCCTTCTCCACAGAAGTTTAACAGGCATGTCTTATTGAGTTTCACTTGCTGGGTTCTTATTAATCCGTCTTGTTCACAACAGCAATCAAATATTTAACAGAGCTCCCGTCTCTTGTCATGTGTCTCCCCACTCATGCTTTTCACCCTTTAGCCAGAAGCATGTTTTAATACTTCATGTTTATCTTTGAAATACAGACAAGGAGCTACCTCTAAAAACTGTCAGTAGACTTCACAGACCACTGTGCACACACCCTGAACTGACAGTTATCAAAAAACACTGTTTTTTAGTCGGCTAGGTACCTTTACTTAGTTAAGCTAGCTTACTCCCTAAGGGCAGCCTGTAGGCTACATTCATGAAGAACACTCCAGTCATCATGATAATGTGACTTAAAAGTGTCTCAGAGTATTGCTTGGAGCTGGATAATGAATTCTTTGACTCCTGAGATGCTATCTAAAAATATATCCATGACGCAGTCTTGAGGTTATCTTGGTTGGTGCAAGAGTTGTGTGTCCAGGTGATAGCATTTAAAAAGGAAGAAGCATAGAGGAACTGAGGGGATTGAATTGGAGATGTAGATGAGTTACATTATGAGAAATGTTGGATCTATTAATGTGAAGCATTTAAAGCTAAAGAAGATAAAATGGACTCTGCAGCTGCAATTATGACCATTAATTCTTCAACCCATCTCTAGTGAGTCCTTCAACTCTATGAACGGGCAGTAAGAATTACTGAGGAGAAAATATGGAGACGATTATGTTAAAATTGGACAGACGTGTAATTTCTGAAGGTTAAAATGGAGCACACAGATAAAGTGAACTGTATGTTGCAATTACATGTTCTCGACGAATATCTTCTATCTTATTCAAAGATCCCTGATTAGCATTTAAGCTACGACTGATAAAATCCTGCCGGCAGCAGCTGCTTCTCAGGGAAATAAGACGGCACTTGGATCCGTCAATTATTGGATGCATTATTCAAAGGTTTGAAGCATTTATACCTAAATATACCCCTGTGGATGTCGGTACCTGTGGATTTGATGTTAAACTGTGTTTTGAGTTTTGTGCCTCCTGAATGGAGATGATGGTACAAATGGTTTCAAGTAACTCCCCAGAAAATCACTCATTCCTGTTTTCCATTTCTTGTCTCTGCATCTCTCTCTGTCAATAGTGATCTCTTTATCTGCTCCTGTCAGTGACATCTCTCTTACCCATCCTCTACCTTGCTTCATCCTGAGTGGTGCGTCAGTTGTCTCACCCCGGCTGAGTTGGACTCCAACAAAAAAACCTAATAATTAATCAGTGCGGCTATGAAATTAAGATAATAGGAGAGAGAAAAAGAGACAGATCAGCAGCCTAAAGTTTGAATAAAACAACAGAGAGATCTGAAATCTGAATATTGTCATAGATAGACTCCTAAGAGAAACTTTGATCAGAAGGTGAAAAGAAGATAGCTATGTCCTCTGTTCTCAAAGGGATATTCCAGCATAAAATGAAGTTAGGGTCAAACACAGTAACACCAGGTTAGACACTCCATTGAGAGATTAATTTTGCTGACCGCTTGCTTCTCTAGTTATACCAACTCTAGTAACGACCGGACGATAGCAATACACAGTGATCCCAGGAGCCACACGCTCAACCAAAACGCCACTCTATAGCCACAAATAATGCTCAGAACAGCACCTAACTTCATCAAAAGTACATATAGGGTCCCAGCCACAGCACTAGCCACCAAACATCTTTTTAGCTTTGCCAAATTTTTTTTTTAGCAAAGAGACTAAACACAACTCACCCACTCTCTTCCAGCAGCCGATTGTTGGTACAGAGACCTCAGGCAAGTTCGTTACCGCTGTGGGGTGACGCAGCTCAAGGAGGAACATTTATGATTATTACTTCATGGGAATGTAATTAGACAGAGATGCTAAGGCAGAAGAACTACCGTGTCTGCAGTGCAAAATGATTGACATGATGATTATTACTTCAAGGAAATGATAAAGTAAAGTTGGTATGACTAAAGCAAGCAGCAACGGGGTGGCTAACCCGTTGTTACGGTGTGTTTGAACCTAACTTAATTTTACGCCGGAACATCCCTTTAAATGGGACCCCGGTTGGCAAAACGTACATCATGCTAGGGAAGATTTAATGATGATTGGCATCATAAACCCATTAGGAAAATTTGTATTGAGGTTTTAAAGCCATAGATTGTATAAACCATGAACAAAGACTGGGTAACGTCAACCTTTGTATGGGGCTCATCATAGAAAATTTGAGTTCAGCCAAACTTTCAGTAAATCCGGCCTTTTTTTTAAAAAAAATCTACAAATCTTGTTAGTTCATTATCCATTGTTGCTGTAAAAATAGTTGTTTTTACACAGATCTCAACAAGGCCTTCTGGGCTTTTTGAGGCTGCCTCAAGTGGACAGTTGTGGAAGTGCAGTTCAAAGAACTCCCACATTGGCTCCCCTTTTCAACATTAGAACCTGACGTGAGCGTAAATCACGAGAAGTCAGGTCAGTTTTTTCTCAGGCGCTTGTGCAATCAGAATTCTTTGGTGACAAGTGGTGTCGCCCCCTTGTGGCCAAAATAAAGCTTGAAACAAAGTCTTTTCCAGTAGAGTTCACATCCAGATAAAGTGAAAGTGTGCCATCTCATGCACCTACTGTCTCATTGCTTATGCTTTTTAATAGAATACACAACATGCCTGAGAGTCTGATGGGAGAGACATTTCATGAGTCACACGAAAGCTTTATAAATGTGTGAAAGCTTGTACTTCTCTAATTGTTTTAAATGATGTTATTTCAGAATAATAGGTGATGCATAACTGAAATGTGGTGTAATTTCTCTCAAGCTGGAGTTCAACAGTTCATAGCAGATGTTTCATTATCATCATTAATAATTCATAAAAAGTGTGTTTTAGCATTCAGAGCCTTCATCGCTTAAACTACACTGGCTTATTGGCTTACTTGAAACTTCAAATGGCTGGCAGGGCACTGCTAAGTACTGCTCCTTCCCTTTTCATTGCCTAAGCCTATTAATGTGAAAAATGTACAACACTGTGTTTCCTTATTTATTGATATACTTTAAAGCTCCTGTGAGTGGCTCTCATTTTAATGACGCTCTTCTTGAGTAATGTGAGAAGTTTTTAATTTCTTTTACAAGCAAAGTCAGAAACACAAAGACAGACATTTTTAGTTACTGAATGAGTTTTGAACCTTTTTATCATAAAGTTTATTCCAGATGAGCACAACTGCGTGCAACCTGAATGTTATCCCCACCAGATTTAGTTCCTATTTATATGCTGCTCCTTGGCCAAATAATTCAGCACCACCAAGTCACATTTCTTTGCTATGCAGATGACACTCAGATATGAGACATGTGTAACCCTAGAAGCCAAGCTGCTGCCAAAGACTGTCTAAATGATATTAGCTTCTGGGTGGCTCAAAACTCTCTCCAGCTCCAGCTCAATAACTCCAGATTTGACATAACAATTTTCAACACAAAAACTTCCACCCATCTCATCAAGTCTAGTCTTGTTACCCTTTCAGAAAACATACAACCCACAGTCAGAAATCTGCGAGTGGTGATAGTCTCTGACTTCACCTTCACAACTCCCTTCAAGGAAGTGGTCCGATCATGTTTTTTTTCTCATCCTAACCATTGGTACTTTTAAAATAATAATCAGTACCAAGGTAGCTCTTGAAAAAGTCATCCATCTGCTGATTTTCTACATAAAAAATCAAAAGCTATTCAGCTAAAAAACAGGCTGTCTTCAGAGCCAATTAAAATCTCGTCATAATAAATATTTCAATTTATAAAACTTGAGGTTACATACGTCTACTCCTGGACATACGCCTATGTATAGACTTTGGCTCAACATTCTGTCAAGTGACCTTTATTTATACATCTGGTGAATATATTTGTGCATGAGGATGCATATTCTGTATATTTGATTCCTCTCTTCTGTCTGGTCTTTATCTGATTTGGTTCATTTGAAGAAAACAAGCCTGTGTACCAGCTTTGGATTGGATTGTACCAGAAACAGAGGATTTAACAGACCCCTAGATTGCTATGTCTATTTTTTGTTGCCTTTTATCTGTTATCATGCTGCTATTATTAGCAGGAAATATTTTCAAAGAAACAAACTATTAAAGACTAAAAGACCATTACAGAGTCTTGTACTGTGGGTGTTTTTTTTCAGCTGTCTGTATAGTTTCTGCCCTGAGCTCAAAACCCTTCTGTAATCACAGTTCAACCTTTATAAATTGACTGCTGGCTTATGTAACTCTGCTCTGATATAGAGTAAATAATTTCTGGAGGATTTGAAAGCATCTTTATTGAGCCAGTGAACCCGAGTCATCTGTCAAGCAGTCATGAAATATGGTGTTGCAGTAATGCTTGTTGATGGGCAAAACATTACATGGGTTTGTTGAAGTCACAGAAAATCTCTCAGTGATACCAAAAAGACTTTAGTTTAAAGCGTTTGACTGGAAAGTGTGAGTATAGATGTGTGAGAGCTGTCAATCATGATGTCACTTCCTTCTATTTACAACCAAATTTATCTGGAAAATGATCCCTTTATCATCAATCAATATGATAAGAAGTAACTATGTCAGAGGGCATGGTGATGTGGACTTGCATTTCTGGTTTGATCCATCTTCTACTCTACAGTAGCTGTCATAATAGAGGAGGCGGGCCTTGAGACTTACACAGTAAAAGTTTCGGCTTCACTTTGGGGCAGCTGTTGTGCTGTCTATATTTCCATACAGCTAGTGAGAACACTAAATAGAAAAACTCCAAATCTGTCCCAGATTTAGACTCAAGCCAAGCAACCCAACTCTCTTTACTCTTTACATCCAATCTACTTCATATTCCTAACATTTTTCTGTATGTTTCCAACAAATAATGTTTAAAGGGAAGGTTATCATGCTTTTCTACATTTACAACAAAAACTGCAAAGTAACAAAGTTTGGTGTCTACTCTACATGTATGCAAAGTTTTAAATCACAAGGTAACTAGTGCGAGATTTACTAAATTCTGACCTAAGAATTATAGATTCTTCTTACTGGTTGATGTGCTTCAGGCAAAGCGGAACAGTCTGCCTCCAACAGCGTGTGAAGTGACACCCACAGCAAAGCAGGGTAACCATAGACATAATATACGCACATATAATGTACATACATATATGATGTTTATGGGGGTAATGCCCAACTGGTCGACCACAGTAGAGGGAGCACCGCCAAAACAATGAGCTCTGCCCCTGCCCGGCTTGAGAGACAGCAGCCAAAATGAAACGTTTTAGACGGCGGTTGAAATATGATATTTTAATGCACTACAGTGAGAAATTTGAGGCTTTTTTAAATCTGAAAATCCCCAAAATATTTTAAAGAGATATCAGAAAGAAAATATAGACTATGAAAAAAAATGCATACTACCCCCCCTTTAATATTTATTAACTCAGGGATTCTTGAGAGTCGGGACAAAACACTTCCTAAAAAACTTTTTTTGAGAATGCACACTATATTGATTAGAGTTATTTATTACTGTAGAGAAAGGTCTTAGCTATTTAACCACGTAAAGGAACAGGCTCTAAATAAAAACATTTTTTCTATAAATTAACATGTTTCCCTTAGACAGTGGATTTGTGTCAACTCCATCAGACACACAAAAAAGAATATAATTTTAATAATTCTAGTCCAACAAGAATCTAAAGTTCTGATGTATGTTGTAATAGTGTTTAGTTACTCTGATATGCCATGAAATGTAATATATAAACCTAATGTGTGATTTCACACTATTTTGAAAACCAAGATTTCTAAATAGTTGCATTTTCAAACTTTGTTTTTTATTTTTATATTATAAAAAATATTTCTGTAAGTAAATAAGACACAAGAGGATGTAGAGCCAATGCTCCTTTATTACTTAAATAATATAAACTGAAGAAACAAATTTTTTTTTCTTCAAAATTGAAGAAAAACATACATCTGACGGTGTTGACGAACACCTGACGGAGTTGACGAGAAACTAACGGAGTTGATGACATTGCATATGTTATTGAACAAATGTGTTTTTAAACTGATTGACAATAGGTCAATAGGTGAAAATAGATTAAGAACTAATAACTCCTTGTTTTCATACTGAACATACCGTTAATGCAATTAACCACCGCGCCGACAAGGCGTTTCCAAGCACATTTTCGTATTTTGGTGAGTTGTGCAACCCGGCATAAGTATCCCCCCTCCCCTAACTCAGCTCCTTCCAGCGGCGTAGGTCATAGGGAGGGAGGAGAGAGGGCGTTGAGTGGGTTTAACACAGCCGAGACCTGTATTGACCAATAACATCAGCTCTTCTCGCCTTTGAATCCACCACTAGCGAGGCGTATTACTATTTTCGTGAAGTAGTCAAAGAGATCAAGAGATGTCTGAAGACAGCAATGCCACACGATGGCGACAGAATGCAGCTCCTCAACAAGTGTCACTGTAAGCGCTGCAGAGGGCGCCCTGCACACTGTCTCATATAAGCACAGATGGATTTGGTGTGTGTAATGTTGGACCCACTGGTAAGACAAACACCCTTTTCCACAAATATGACAATCACATTAAATTGCATATATTTAAACCTCACGTGACAAAGGTGGGTTGTGCGCAAAGGTCACAACATAAATTCCAATAATGGCATTAAAATCAGATCCAATCTGTGTGTAAATCGCGCTCCGTGGCCTGGCTCTTTCTTTCATAGATGTTGGCATATAAAATAAATTTGGCTCACAAAACTGATTATTATAATATTTGTATGTAGGCTTAAAGTAAAAAACTCATCTGATCACTGGAACAAATCATCTGTTCAGCTGCCGCAGCAGCAGCTGCAGCAGGACGGGTAGAGGACACGGAGACATGTCCAGGTTGAGCTGCGCGAGAAATAAGAGGAAGAGGAAGCTAGAAATGGGGGCAGACAAATTAAATATCTTGTTAACTTCATCATGTGTGTTTATTTACTAGATATTTGATTCAATTTCATGCTGATTCAGCAGCTGTGTTAATTTGGTCAGGTTGAGTGTCCAAACGCATGCCAAATGTGCTCATCAGATCAGATATAGATCAGAATATATCGATATAGATCTAAATGTATGTGCTGACACAGATTATTAGTTGTTATTGATTATTTATTGCACGGAAATGTTCCTGACACTGTGGAAACCTGCTGGTGCCGCCGGTCTCCCAAAATACCACTAGCCCATCCACCACTAGATCCACCTGCGCTGAAAGCTGACCAGGTTTGAATCTGCGAGCTTTCAGCGCACTTTACACGCCGGCAACAAGTACGAAAATGTCACTGCACCAGCTGATTCTGTGGACACCTCACCCTGCCACACATCCACGCCCAGCTTGGCGGACCTCGGTGCACCTCAGTCCACGAAAATACCAAACTGGCTGTACGCTGAGCTCCGCCAGACGAAAATGCCACTGCGCAGGGTTCGCCACCCTCCGCCATGTCGCCGGTGGACACAAAAATAGAGCCCAAGGTCTGAGGGTCCAAGTTAACAATGTAAAAATAATAACCTTTTTCTTCTATCTGGTATCCCACCTACACTGGGGTTTAAAAGAGCAACATAGAACTTCTTGCGCACTCTATAAGAAGCCAGTGTGTAGATTTTAGGTAGTGAAAATTACATACTGCACCTTTAGGATTGTACATTAATCAATCAATCAATGAGATTAGGTGTGTGTGTGTGTGTGTGTGTGTGTGTGTGTGTGTGTGTGTGTGTGTGTGTGTGTGTGTGTGTGTGTTGGGAAAGTTTGACAGTTATAATTAAGCAGACAGCCTGCCCATGGTCTACTCTACAAAACAGAAGTATATGGTAAAATAACGTAATATATGCTATATATGTACTTTTATGTGCAGATAAGACCCTGGAATAACATTGTTATCCTTAACCATGTTCAAAAATAGCATATTGTCAGCACATTAAGAGGTTATAGGTGGATTTGTCAACTCCATCAGCTTACATGTCAACTCCGTCAGACACAAAATCTGACGGAGTTGACGTCTGACGGAGTTGACGTAAGGGCATGTATTTTCCCTCCAAAACATTTATTGTACAGTGCAGCTAGCTACTTTTTTGGCAGTTGCTAGCTGTCCTGATAATCTCACTAAAATACTTTAATTGAACTCACTATGGTTTTTAAAAAAGTATAATAATGGAGAGACGGTGTTGACATGGTCCAGCTGTGACCATACAAATATTGACATTGTTTGTCTAAAATATCAAAAACTGTAAAACCTACCAGACCATGTGTGGTGGTGTTGTATTCACCAGAAGCAGGAAATGAAAAGGGGTCCTCAGGGATATAGCTGACCATGATATTACATGATTTAATGAGGTTTACAGAATAATCTGATGGAGTTGACAGAAACTGAGGACACAACTTTGATAGGCAGATTTTTAGGCAAAAAGCTATTTGATGTTCAGGCCATTCATTGTTTATATATTTGTAGCCCTGAATTTTTATTTGATGTATATGTTTTCACAATTATAGAGTTTTTTAAAGTTTTTTGGGGCTGGTCAATATTGTGACCTCTTGCTGAGGACACAAGCAATAACATGGACCTTCTAACCACAGACGTTTCGTTTAAACAAATATCCCCCAAAAAAGTAAATATCTGTGCTAAAAAATAGGATTGGTATACACAAATCCATTAGATTTAACTTTTTGAGTATGTCAAACATTTAGAATTTCTTAATTGTTTTGAATAAATTAGACTTTTCTATGTAGGACATGTTTTGTCCCGACTCTCAAGAATGGGTGAACTGTGACAGGAACACCTGTCTTAGGCCAAATGATAGAGTCCTTGTGTTGTTACACTTTACAGCACTTGTAGAACAGTTGCTCATTAACGAGAGGTAATTAAACTATGATGACAGTTACTTACTCCTAAATATTGCAGTGAAACATAACAGTAATTGCTTTCCACTGATGGCTTGGCATAGGACAAAAATGGCTGTCTTGTGAATATGGCGGGTACCCTCCGTTTGGGGCTTGTGCAACTTCTGTAGTTTTAAACATAAGTACAAGTGCCAACAATCTGTTCTGAAACTCTGTGACTCATAATCTAAATTCCCGAAACAACCTACTCATGAGCCCCAAGCAGTCCTCAAAAATCAGGTCTCATCACCAAAATAATGTTTCATTTGGCAGGCCATTTATCAGCGCAAAGTTGCAAGCCCAATTTAGCAGTTATTATTATCTCAATTACAGGGATGGAAGGAACCACGGGATGACAGATTTCACCCATCTACAGAACATCTATCATCTGTATATTCTGTGCAAAATGGGGATTAAAAGAGTGCCCTAAAATGAGTTATACATATATTCAGCAAATAGCATCAGTAGTAGATTGCTGTTGAGATGATAAGCCCCCTGTGTGTGTTCTTGTCTTTGTGTAAGTCTTTAGATGTGCACATCTGTTCCTCAGAGTGTGTGTGTATATGTGGAAAAGACAGTGTGTGTTCATCACTGTGGAGAACACAGGCAGTGTAGCTGAAGGTCACTCTGAATGGAGGCAGATAAATGAACAGGAGGCACCAACAAGCTTATTACTGTAGAGAGATCACACACACACGCACACATACGCACACACACTCACACACGCACTCGCACACACTCTGCAGAGACTTATAACTGCTACTGCGGTGACATGAATTGCTCCTCATCAGATTCCCTCCCCCTGCCCTCTCTCTAAATCTCACTGTGATAACCTCGCTTGCTCAGACTTACAGCCTCTGATAGAGACAGCCCGGAAACAATACTCAGAACACCTTTACAACAGATAACCCAGTTCAAAAGCCCTAAAAAATACAGTATACTACGTTCAAAGCCAAACATTCAGTTTGACCTAAGTTTGTTGTTTTACAGGTGCTTACATCTTCACAACTCACTGTCCTGATTATAGTACAACACCTTCAGTTATACGTGTAAGATGGCACACTGTTAGGGGGATTTTCTTTAGCCAGTCATGTCAGGCTTTAGAGTGGTGGAGCTGTGTCACTCAAATACCTTAGATTTTTGGAGCCATGGGCCTCTGACAACCATCCTCAACAAGGACCTTGTACCCATGTTCAACATCACTCAAAATATGTTGTGCTTTGTTATTACCCTAAATGGACTCTCCTTCAGGTCAACAAGATGCAAGCAGAATGTTTGGAAATGTGGATGGCGATGTATACTTGAACAGTCTCAGACCAGTCTGTGTTACGCTTGTGGCATGATGAAGCCGGTCAAAATAATCATTCGTGTGAATATGGGCTGTATAGGCATCCTTACACACACCCTATCTGGCGGTCTGATTGACCAGCTCTGATTGGCAGCAGGGTGTCAATCTCTGACGACTGGATGCTGATTAAATAACCTGAGCTGTTCTCTAAAGGTCCCATATGATGAAAACAAATTTTCTTTCTGGATCCAAACTTTATGTGTGTGATGGATGTTTTTTTTTAATCCCATATTCTGTTACACAACAGTCTGTCCATTTTTCAGCATAACCAAAAGGGTACTCTGTGTTGCCCTTTTACTCTGTGTGGCTGGGGTTAAGAGTCTAAAGTGCTGCCAGGAGACTGCAGAGTCTGTGAGGCATGAAGTAGTCTGACCCAACTTCATGCTGGCAAAATGTCACTGCTGGCTAAACGACAGGACCCAGGTAGAAATGACTGTATGATGGTCAGCACTTACAAAAGCACTCCCGCTCTGAGCTACACTATAATCCACACTTTATCTTTATATTAACCAACATGTAATACACAAGTATTGAAGCTTGTAAGGACTCCAACGTTTCAGGGTGAAAATCCGGCTTAAAAATCTGGGTGAATGCCTCACCACAGGCAGGTGAAATTGACCTGTGTGGCTCTGTGAGCCTTGTCTGTTTGTAAAGAGAATACTTGTCTGCTGTCGGTTTGATAGTTTCGGATCAGGTGCAGGAAATATGTCTCCAACAGTTTGTGATTTCTATAAAAGAGACACACTGAGAGTGACGGGATAAAAAATGACAGAGTGGATATAGAGAGTAAACCACCTCAGTGTTCACACGTGCCATTGACAGCCTGATAGTGGGGTTGGGAAGAATAAACAAGTTTATACTTTCACCTTTTCCTGTCGATACACCAGTATTAGAATACAAGAGTCTGAGACTTTCAATTCACTCCTATCCCAATTTTCAGGATCTGTAATTCAACTAAGTCTCGATCATTGACTTCAGATGGAGATAAAGATTCAGACGTCTTTACTGATTGAGACTGACTCACTGTTTTTTTGTAAAGCCCTGACAACTCAGTTTTGAGCAATGGTGTCATGCTGAATCATAGGTGCCACAAATCATGTGTTTTGTTTTAAAGATTTCACAGTTAATGCATGCAGGAGCAGAGCAATGTTTTTGTTGTGTGAAAGACAAACAGTGATTCCACTGAAGCAGCAGAAACAACGAGTGCATCCCTCCACAGGAGAAGTACAGTGTACATTTATGTATGACTCACATTGCTGTAACCTAATTCATAATTAAACGCAGACTCAGTCGGAATTAAATGTCAATCTTAAAAATATGTTTTCTACACACCCAAAAGGTCACAGTCGGTTAGTGCACACAGAGAGCAGTTTGGAGAGAAACAGTGGCCTGTCTTGGAAATAAGTCCATTACTCAAGGAACAGAATTTGGAGTCTGACTTGACTAGACTCAAGGTTTGGTATTTGGACTTCAGCACGTCTCGCTGTTGAACTTGGATCATAAGAAGTTGAACATTTTCTTGAGAACTGTGATGATGAATTATTTTATCTTATAAAGTGTTTCTCAGCAGAGGTTTGTATATAAGTGCTGGATTGACGTATATCATGAATACCGCCTGGCAGTTTGTGTGAACGTCAACTAAGGTCCTGGACATTCCCCTTAAAGGGATATTCCAGCGTAAAATTAATTTAGGGTCACTGTAACACTGAGTTAGACACCCCCTCCAGAGATGAATGTTGCTGACCGCTTGCTTCTCTAGTTATACCAACTTTAGTAGCGACCGCATGATAGCAATACACAGCGGTCTGAGGAGCCATACAAAAACCTCAACCAAAACACCACTCTATAGCCACAAATAATACTCAGAACAGCACCTAACTTCATCAACAGTACATATAGGGTCCGAACCACTAGCCACCAAACATCTTTTTAACTTTGCCTAATTTCTTTAGCAAAGAGACTAAACATAACTCACCTACTCTCTTCCAGCAGCCGCTTGTTTGTAGCGAGACCTCAGGCCAGTCCATAATGGACTGCAGCGGGGTGACACAGCTCAAGGAAGGTCAGATTGCATTTCCATGAAGAAATGATCATAAATCTCTCGATGGGGTGTCTAACTCGGTGTTATGGTGTGTTTGACCCTAAATTAATTTTATGCTGGAATATCCCTTTAACAAATTTCACGAGTAACAAGTTACAACTCAGTGAGTTAAATCTAGGTTACATTTACAGTAGTCCATATTGCAGTCAAAGGTCCAATACCTCCCCAGTGGTTAAATTGCTTGAAAGGAATGATGAGAGTGAGTGATTGAGCCTCTGTGTAGTAAAAGGGAGTGGGACTTTGCAGGTATATGGTGTGTGAGGAAAAGTCCTATAGAGGTGACTAAAGATGTCACAAATTTACCAGCACACAGCTTTTTGTCCGATATATAATTTTTCCACGAAAACGACAGCTCTGCTCTTTACTGGAATAGCTCTTTTCACATGAATAATACATTTTTTTAACCATTTAAAGTCAGCTCTTATGGGAGCTGATAATAGTCCATACTGTATAAGTATGCCTGGTTCTTGAATTGCTCTTCTTCTTCTTGAAAGTGTTGGAAATTGGCTGTGATTGACCAAAATCTTTTGTTCTCTGGATTTTTTTCCACTTGACTGTCAAACTGAATGGTAATATTATTGATGTATTTGAGGGCATTGTTAGTTTGATGGTCATGATTTTCCTTCTCTGGGGTTCTGAGTTTTTATTTTTGGAGATGCTAGAAAAGACTTTTCTTTTTCTTTTTTTTTTCTTTTTTTTTGCATGTTTATTCATAGCTGGAGCAACATGACTGACAGGAAGTTGTCTTAAAAAAATGGAAAGCCTTGAGACAGGCACAACAACAACAACAACAACAACAACAACAACAACAATACAATGATATTGCAAGGCTTACATAATAATCAGAAACAACCTGTGTTGAAATAAAGATATATTTTGAGGTTCTCTCTTGGGTTTGTTGTAACAATTGAGAAAAGGGTCAAAAAAGTGATAGGTCAGAGCCAGGGCATGCCATTAGAGACAAGATTGCCTCACATGTTGCAGACTAGGAAGTCAATCATCGCCAATCCTCCTTTGTATTCCTTTGTAAATTACTTTTTCAACCTTAATGCCATAAATATTGATGTGCAAAAGCATTTGCAAGAGTTAGCATTTGCGAGTTGATTATTAGTTTAAAAATAAGACCCACAAAGGTACGGTTGACAGCTTAAGTTTAGCGCACAATACAGGATAAATGTGCTACTTTTGGACTTGATTCCCCCTTCTGACAGATGTCTGAAAAAGCCCAATTATTGAATGGGCTAAAGGTAATCTTGCTCGATTATCCTGTGGTGTACAATGTGTTAGGAGGGACTTTTCTGCTTTCCAATTTGTGCGGAGTACCCCTGATTCAGAATTGTGAATATTAAACATGTAATGTAATGTCATAATCAAAATCAAAAGGGCTCTCAAGTCTCTTATTTGGCGTGTGAAACACACATTCCCACCACCTGTTCACATGCTCACACGCCACACATTGTATTTCTAACGCATTTAGATTAACACAGTGACATCCACTAAGTTGCACCCCTTTAACAGTGGAACAGGTAGGAATCAAGTGAATTCCCCCAAGAGTTCAGAAGCTGCGTGCCACGCGCAAGCCCATCAAATAAAGTATATCTAACAAACAGCCAATCAAAAAGTAGCATTGCTGTATCCTGGTAGATTCTGATATCCTGCGGTTTCGCTACAAAAGAAAACAGACACTCACCGAAATGAAGAGGGTTTCATAAGGACGCAAAGACCTGATGATTACAGTAAGTCATCTCATCATTTTATTCGTTGCTGTGGAATAGTCTCCTTTATACTGTCTATGAATATTTTGTCCAGGCAGAAGGAGTGGGAACAATTATGCATGTGTGTCTGGATAAGAGTTAGCTGAGAGGGTGTTCTCCATGGTTGGTCTAAACAAGACCAGAACGAGAAACAGTTTGGCACTTAATGGCACTCTGTCATCAATCATGACAGTAAAAATGGCTGGTTTGGAACCACAATGTTTCAAGTGGGAGCCACCAACCCCCGTCCTTAAGGCCTCAAAGCAAGCCACAAACACTTACAACAAACAACACACACGAATGAATTTATGCGTAATTTGTCAGACATCCATCCCCACCTCAACCAAATCCCCACCGCCGCTGGTAAACTCTCACTCTGAACTCACTTCAAAACTTGAGAGCCCTGCCTTTGTATTGGGGGGAGAACCCAAGGATGCCTGATTTTGCAGGTAGTCCATTGTTACATGGAACAACTTGATAGCAAACCAGGAAAAGGAGCTGACTTAAATACTGAAGCACAGCAACCGCAATCACCTGAACGATGGCAAATGCAAAGCATAAACTGAGATGGAAGTTGAAAAATGGATTCCAATAGTAAATAATAATGATCGTGTTAAGTCAGTGTTTACTCCAAGTGTGTTTAATAAAACCCATCACAACCAAAATAACAAAGGGGAAAAGAAATTTCTACTTCAACAGAAATACCAGGTTACTAAGTAGCTTATTAATAGCTAGCTCCCATTGGCGGCCATGTTTGTTTTCTCTAAAATCACATTTGTTACAGAGATACTTTATGAGATGTCCCGTTATGAGAGTTGGGTGAAAAAGGCTTTGTGTGTATGTGTGTGTGTGTGTGTGGTGTGCTACGTTCAGCACATTGTTGCACACCACACACTACATGAACAAAACTTTTGACCACACTAAGCTGATTATGCCTATGTGTCTCTCTTTTTTTGTGGACATTACAAGTTATTTCTCTGAATTCAAGCTACAGTACATGATGGAGACAGTGATTCCACAGCTGATATTACAGCCTCACTTTATTGCTTCACATCTAGTTCACAGAATCTAAAAAAAGGGGGCCTTTTAGTTTTTGGGAACATGGTGATCTGGTTTCTTTTGGCTCAGCGTTCAGCCTCATTGTGTCACATCTTGGCTTCCATACAGCTCCTAATGGCTTCATCCCAACAACCAGATTATGAAGAAGATTAAGCAACATTTCTGACATCCCTAATGAAATCTGATAAATGGATATGTTATGGGTTTTTCTCTTTTATGGCGTGTTCAGGGAATCAGAGAATAAATAGAAACAAACCAAACCCTGTGTACAACATGTTTTTGCTTAATGATCTTTATGTGTAATTTGAGATCAGAGTGTGTGTGTACAGTAATGTTCATAGTCAGGCCTGTAGAAGCTGTTGGAAGGTGAAAGGATGTGCTTTGGTTTCTTTTTACCTTAGTGTGAGTGTGTCCTCGTGTATTTGTGTAGAAAACAAGTAGATTCCCCGTATTCACACATGCGTCACTCCATCCTGCAAGCCTGGAGGGTGGTTTTTAGAAATAACAGACTGCTGAGTGTAGGAGTGCTCTCTCACTTCTCCTTTCTCTTCCCCTCTCACATCTCTTTCTTTCCTTCTTTCGCCATCCTTTGTCCTGACCACGGGCTCTCCTTTCACTTCCACCCCCTTGCATTTAAGAGGGAAAGCATCTTATGAGAAGCTGACTTGCTTTTCAGACCCCTAATCCCTTGTCTATTCGTCGACTTTCCCCCATCCCCTCTCTTTCACCAGACGCTGAAATGTCAAACACATGATAATCTGTCTTTTTTCTCTCCCATATCCCTCCCAGCTGCTCTTCTCTTGTGTCTTTATTTTCTTTCCAACATCTTTTGCATGTTTTATAAATATGTCTCTTGTGGTCTCTGAAGTAAACCACAAAAGGATTTGTAAATTAATAGTTTATTTTGGACTGGACCAGGGCTTAATTAGGCCTTCCCTCATTTGCACAGTGGATAATTGAAATCTAAATCAGGGAAACGTTAACATTTCATTTGATTGATTTCATTATTACATCCCTAGAGGTAAGCTACATTGATTTTGCTGCATTGTTGACAAGGAAAACTGCAGATTCATTATTTGTCAGAAAATTAATGATTTTATTTGAAGCCACTGGCTAATAACACACACTTAATAAAGGGTTCTGAATTTGATTACTTCAGACTCAGTGTTAAATAACAAAACACCCACAGTTTAGGAGATCCTTGGACTGGATTTATCAAAACGTGGGGACAACTAGAGTGGAGATGGATTAACTTCTCATTCAATCGACAAAGTGCAGATAAATTAGTCTGTGTTTTCTTCTTGGTCCAAATCTGGAACAAAAAGGCAGCCGAAGCTCACCAGTTTCATGTGCTTGGGGCTCTGCTGTGTGTTAGTGAACACCTCTCAGACACGCACACCGTCCCCACTGACATCTAGATTTTACACGGTTGTGGCGCATGTGGGAATGTGAAAGTTCAGATTCGCAAAGGTTTGGACCGATTGTGACTCCAACTGATACCTGACCATGTGGACAAGCATATTATCCTCAGTGAGAGTAAAATTGGCAGAAAGCTGGGAACCGTGAGGCTGAAATATTTTTCTGTTCAGTGTTCTTGTTGCAGCAATTCTGAATTCAGTTTGAGCTTTGCTCCACATGATTTCGTGTCCACGGAGATCATTTATTAAGCCACTATGCTTGGTAGTTTTGCAAGTCAGTCAGTTATATCCATTATGCTGCTATGAATACATGTGACCCAAAGGGACAATGCAATCTTTTCTTTCCAAAGACTGAGCGTAGAGAATACTTTGACTTTGCATTTTAGTCACTAGCTGCATTTACATGGGCACAACTAATGGGAATAAAAATGTGTCACGTAAACATGTTGATCGAAAGATTTTGATCCAATTTGACTCAATCTGAAAGAAATGGTATTCCGATCGAGAGGGGTGGTTTATGCCGATCTTTATTCTGGAACGCGTCCATGTAAACACTTAGTCCGAATTCCGATCGTGACTCTCTTATCTGACTTGATCCTCACTCTTTAGTCTTTGGCTTAATTACTGAGGCCAGTACAGGAGGTTTCATTATTAACACTCTGGCATAAAACACAATCACAGGTGCCTGTCTGCTCCAATAACATAAGAAAGTGTACATACAGCATAATGATGTCACATCTGCATGCAAAGTGCAACCTTTGACAGAACAGCAAAATAAGTACACAAGGGCGCCATCTAGTGACAACATTCAACAGGGGGAAAACTCCTAAATTGGAGTGAGTGAACCACGACCGCGTTTTTTGGTTTGTTGACAGCACAGGCGTAAATACAACTCCTTATCTGCGGTTGTTTTAGCGAAATCAGACAACTCTGCGCATGTCCAAATGCTTCTAATCTGAATAAAGCTTGGTGCATGTATACGCACGTCATGATTTGCATCCATATAAACAGTGGATTCAGATTATCCAACTCCTCAAATTTTTAAGCGGCTCAAGAAATTTTGCACATGTAAACATGGCTACGTATGACAAGGAAGTTCACACTCTGAGTAACTATTGAAAATAGGTGCTAGCAAGATACTGGTGCCGTTAGTGGTCACAGGATCTCAGCACTCTTTTAATTAAACCTTTTTGTGTTTGTATTGTGCAAATTTCCCTGAATGTTTTGTAAATTCCTCTCTATCTTCTTATTTCAGCTTTGCCATCTTCAGTCTTATCTACAAACCATATTGCACTTGTTTGAGCTATTCTTTGTCACCGTCAAAGAAAAGCTTTCTCTTTTCTGGTTGAGGATTAACTTTGTGTCACTTGTGATCCAGGGTTTGTTATTGAGGAAACAGCGAACAGCCTTTGTAGGTATAACTCAAAGCAGCAGTCCTTTAGTATTTGCCAACATCATAAGTAATTCAATAAATTGTGCCAGAGGGGTTTTAAGCCAGTGGCTAATGATATAGGGATTCTTGGCAATGCAAAGTTTGGGAACCCCTGCTTTATTCAGGTATCATCCCTCAAAGACACCAGATTTTATCCAGTTGTTTGGAAAAGTTACACAGATGGATCAACTCCAGCTTTTTTGAGTTAAAGGATAAGTTCAGACAAAGTCAAGGCATGATTATATGGGAAAAAATCTCGTTCATATCAGAAAAAAGCCATGGAAACAATAAAATTCCTCTGCTGTAACTCCTCCCTGCAGAGTTGTGGATTTGGCTCCGGATTAAATCACAGTTTAGGCTTTCAAGCACCTTCACCAGTCAGTTTTCTTACAAAGTGGCCAAACAGAATGTCAGACTCTGGTCTGTTAGAGGAGTCGTTTCAAACAGTTTGACAGAACGGTTTGTCCTTCATGGAAGGCGAGGCACCGGGGAGCTCTGACGGAGCAAAGCAGAAATGTCTACGCCTAAAAGAGATGAAAGTATTCTGCAGAGCTTCAACCATCCCACAAAGCTTTAGCGGGGGAGATAAAAGCTTTCGGCAACAAAATGAATGAAACTGATATTGGCACAGTAAATCCACCCCAGAATTTTTCAGCAGCCAAGGTGCCTAGAGTGTCTATTCTGAGTGGGTTCTGCATCAGTTGAGGGAAGACAATGTGACAAGCTTTATACACTGACATGATGCAAAAGATATCAGTGGAGGAGAGATAGAGGCAGTATTCCTTTCACTGACAAATAATTTTTGCTACAGTGTATGTCAACTTTTTTTTTGTCCTGAGAAGACAAGAGGATAAAAACACAACAACTGATGCGTAAGGACAATACTATGGCAAAATATACTGGCACTCTTATTAAAAGATATTCAGCTGAGGAGGAATCATAGAATGTATATAGAATAGACGCCGTCTGCCTCCTCCCTGGGTGAAGCCACTCTGAGAACAGCACCCTCTGGCTGCAGTATAGATCATAAATCCAGCCTCTGCCAGCAAAGCTTATGAAGCTGTGGACAAACTTTAGAAATTTATTACAAAGAACATACATTTTTCCCCCCCCCCCCCCGGTTGTGATGTTGACATGTAGTTATTGTAAGACGACTGGTTTGTGCTCAAGTCCTCTTTTTTCTGTGCAGCTCCCTTTTTTAAAAGTTATTAGGGGGTTCATGTTTTCTATGATTGACACTTGATACAGCCTATGGGCGTACAAAGATTGCGAAGCTCACCCCGGGGGTTAAGCTGTTTGAGCTGAGTGTCATCACAGCGACTTCCAGCGACTCTCTGGCTGAATGCATACAATGCTACTGCGCAAAATGGTGGAGTGCGTACAATGCTACTGCACAATGTTGGTTTCAGGAAACGGAGAAAAATTGAAGAAATACCAAGAGCATTTTGGCTTCAAATATGTGCACTGGTGGAAGGCGGAACCAAGTTGTCCATAGTAGATACAGTTTATGGTAGGAATCCAGTCAAAACTCTAGTTACTACTCAGTAATCTTTTTTGTGGGTGAAGGAAGTTATACACACATTTAAGCTTCCCCGAGGGAATAGCAACAGTATACTCTTCTTCTAATAAAAAAAAAAAGGCTGGCTAGTTAATGCTTTAACCACTACTCCAACTATAATATTAGCCTTTGAGCTAAGACAAGACTTAAGGCATAAGAAAAGATGAAACAGGTTTGATTTTACTATAACACCAAAATAGAGAAAGACTATCTTAGGAGACCACCCTACACCAAGGGACTGAGATCAACAGAGTGGACCCCAACTTCAGAAAACTCTTGTGATTTTATTCCAGTAATTCCAACTTTTTCAATGACGTGTGTGGTTGTCTTTTAAATTACAGCAAAAGACTAAGCTGCCAAAGGAAACAAAAGACAGTGGCTGACAACGCTTTTGTACTGATGTATTAGGCTTGAATTTAAAACTCTTTCCACCCTGCCTTAATGATTGAAAATGGAAAAGAAAGTGGCAAAGATGATGAATACCTACCTGAAAAATCTTTGCAAGTGTCTTTGTCACCAAATTTGCTCTATAGGACTGTAAAATATCTCTACAATACTGGTGTGTTAGTCACATTAGAACATAAAACACATATTTTTCTAAAAAAGCCAACAGAAGTATGTCCTATATGCCAAGATTGTTTGGTCGGGCCAGTTAACATTGGTATAAAGACTGGTACTTGGCATAAGTGGGAGTACTTAATAAAAAAACTCTCCTGTGAGTCATTAAAGAGGGCAGGAACCATCAGCTGTTGTTGTCTGGGGACTAGTTGCAGGGAACACAGAACTACAGGATATACTAACACAGCTAAAACACTCTTTCCACAGAAGAGATGTACACAGCAACTGGATCCTTGGACTATCAACCTTTTTTTTTTTTAACTGAATGAATAAGAGGAGGCCTGTTGCGAACACATTGAGAGCTGAGAGTGATGATGTTTAAATCAAGAGTTTGACCATGCAGGAGTTATAAGCACAGATGCCACATGCTCAAGAATAAACAAACCAAATGGCAGCATTTGCTTCCTGAGTTGCACTGCTCTCATTCTTAATGAGCTGCATTAACCAAATGGGCCACTTGGGCACAGGAAGGCCATTAAAGTTGATTAGGGGCTGTTTCTTTCGGCCACAAATGCTGGGAGATATAAAAGATTTTGTTACCAATGTGCGCTAGTGTTTCAAGAACATAAGGCAAACAGACACGCATGCAATAAGCATTAAAACTTAGTTTCACTTAAGTCTGCACATCCTTACAAAAGCATGTGTTTACAAGGAGAAATTGGTGGAAAACAACGATTATATTTCTAAAGCCAATGAGCAGAAATACTGCATCACAGCAAATGATTGGACTCGAAGCGCTCTTAAGTTTTGGTGGGTCTCAGGAAAGTGCATATCACTATCAGAGGAACGGACAAAGAGAGCGGTTTAAATGGAATAAGTCTCTTTATGATGGAACACTTAATGCAGAGGAGGAATGGGAATTGACAATTCACCCCTCCCCTAAGGTCATGGGTGTCTATAATTACCTAGTTAATGAGGCCACAGGCCACTCTCCGTGCATTTGCAGGCCACCCAGACTCCTATGAGAGCTCCTGTCCAGAATTACACTGAAGAAATGCCTCGGCTATTTCACTCGGACTGTATAGAATAAAGATAGAAAAACTGACTGTCCTGCATTTCAGCTGAGCAAGTCCTGATAAGATTTTAGCTGAGTAAGGATGTGAAATTTGAGGATACACAGTGAGATTAATCTTCAGAAAGCTGAAGACATCTAATAAAAGTTTTGGTCACTAAAAAAACCTACTTTTTTAAAAATTAAAAAGCCTAAAATTTGAATTTCCCTCCAAGATCAATAACATTCTTATCTTATCAAAAGGTAAAGACAAACAGTTACAATCCACTGACTGTATCAATGTATTCAACATGCTGTCATCTCTTCCTATGAAAGGCCAAAATACTGACGTCGTTGTAGGGTTGGTGCTGTACCCCTTTCAGCTCACTAAAATCACATTTAACCCACATGTATATTACTTTGCCCATGTCTCATCTGTTGACAAAAAGGAGCACATTTTGTAGCCTATACTGCCACCAGCCACCAGGTGGAGCTCTAAATATTCTGGCTTCACTTCTAGCTGAGCTGTCATGCCATCTGTTTGCAAATTAATGATGTTGATGAATAAGAGGAGCATTTTCCCACAGCGGAAGCATCAGGGCCTCCTGTTTCAACCATCAGAAGAATGAATTCAAAGAAGCTGGTGCAGTACATTCAATATCATCACTCTCAATGGATTACAGTTAAGGAATTCAGAGGTGGGAAGTTTAGGATTTTTTTTCTGTTTCTAGGTAAACAGGGGATTATCATCTTATACGAAATGAAATGACTTGCCATGGTGCAAAGATGAAAATAAACCCAAATGCATCCTAAGTACCTTATGTGGTTCTGATGTGACAGAATTTTGCTTCAGGGATTTTATTCTAAATACACCCCGAAGCAAACAGTTGATATATTGCTAAAAATACAATCAAAGCTACAGTGTAACATGAGGAAAGTTCCTACATCTCCACCTGTGTACTTCCCAACATGTCGTCTGCCAGCTTGAGGTTGAAGAAAGCAACCACCGGGGACAGTACTACAGGTTTGAGGTCCTCTGGGAGGAAAGTACTTTATTCTGGTTGAGGCATATTTCACCCAAAGGCCACAGCATGATTTGACACATTGATTTCTGTACTCCTGTCACAGCTTTTATACTTTTCTGAGGCTATTATTCCCCTCAGGGTTTTTCCTTGAAAGTCTTAATGGCATGTGCTTGCGTGTGTTTTTTATGTTTTCTAATTTGGTCCTAAAGCCACAGGTCGAGTTAGCAGATCTACAGAAACTTTTTGGTTGCAGTGCCAAACGATGACTAGTCTGAGAGGGTATTTTAATGCACGTCAGCCAATGCTCATCCTCGCAGTCTATTTTATTCCCAAGTTATTGTTATGCCAAACCCACTTTCTCTCTCCCGTCTCTGGCAATGACTAATAGGGGGCATTGAAAGCACAATGCATGCTGAAAATAAAGATTGTACGGAGTGATTCATGACACGCACTTGAACCCAAGCTTTGTGCAAGAACAGTTTCTTAAAATCAAATTAATGATGAAATTTAAGCACATTCTTTTGTCTTTAGAGCCCAAATGGATGCTGGATCTATTCTGAGTTTTTGATAGACCACAGGGACTGACGGTGGGTTCAGATCTTTAGTTAGAGCTGTCAGACAGCTAACTTAAGCCCGCTGTCAGCCTTTTTGATAAGTAATAGTACTCTGAGTTCTTTTTTAGCCTCATTCTGCATCTCTCCTCCTCTCTCTCCTGTGCCAGACACCATTTTCGCTCACCAGCTTTGATGTTTCTCTCTTCCTCTCTTTCCTTCCGTCCTTTATTCTAATCCACTTAGTCTCCCCCGTTTTGTGTCCCTCTTTTTCTCCCCGGCCCTCCCTGTCTCTCCCCAATCCTTCCCTGCCAGAAAAAAAAAAAGGTGAAACTTTCAAAAGTTAAGACGCTGCTATTCTCCGCTCCTGTTTCCTATCTTCCTCTCCTCCCATGCCTGCTGATTAGCAGTTGCTCTTCTTCACCTTTGTCCTTCCCATCTCGCCTCCACCGTCGCCATGCTGAGAAAATGATCCTGATTTAGAGGGAAGCATGATATTTCATACAACGGCAGCGCTGGAAGACGAGAAGAGAGAAGGAAATGATGAAGAAACGACACATGAATCAAGCTGTGCAGACAACGACACAGAAACTGTTGGGATAAGCAGTTATGCAGAGACTGACGAAAAGAGAGGAAGATATTTAGAAGCAGACGCACACAATGGATATTAACAAAGAGTATGACGATGAACATTTTGGATACAGAGCTAATAGACTTAAAGGGAGGCTGGGACTATATGAACCTGTCAACATTTAGTGTATTAACCACAGGGGATCCAAGTGAGCTCAGCCCCTTTGTTGAGAGGCCAGCTTTCAACTGCTGCATACAGAGTCAACTTTAAAGTTGGGATGTACAAAGCACTTGCCATGAGTAGGTGTATAACAAACAGAGAATGAAGGTCAGCTTAGCCCTGTTATTGAGACCCTAGGCAGATGACTGGGTGCTGGTCACTATACACCACAATAGATATAGTTAATATACTATGTGTACAATGTTGGGTAGACCTGGGATGGTTGTAACACTTTTTGCTTCAGCACCTGAATGTTTGCGCTGGATTTTTTTTTTCCAGGACATTCAAGTTTGCATTCACATCAGAGCCATTTGGTCCGCTTCAAATAAACCCCGGTCTATAGACTGGTTAATACGGGGTGGTTTGAAAGCTTAAATGACCTATAGTGTGGACCAAGGACGTCTTTCCAACAACATAAGCTCTTTTTCCATCAGAGGATACCAACAGCATACATACAGCTGCAGTCTGCATCATGCACCAGCCAAAGCTCTCTGCCTTGTAGTCTAATGGGGCGCTCACATCAAGCGCGAGTGAAATCATCTACTCGCTTAATTTGCGCAAATCTAGATGCATGAATGAATAGTGTTTACTCGCTTTATTCATGCGTCAACAGTAATTTCAATGATAATCCCTGAAAATTCAACTGGCGGGATCAAGTGATAGACAAAGGTTTTTTGTTTTTTTTTACAATTTTTCAGGTTATCCGACCTCCTCACCCACTTGACTCCAGGTGAGCCCCTTTATATTCCAGTTTCAGTGATTGAAAGATAAGGTATCATATAATTTGGGGCACCCAAACACTGACATGATCAGTTTGTAATCCATTTCAGATTATCCAGTTAACAGCCGTCTGTTTTGTTGAGACATTTTCAGCTCCCGCCCAAGTCACGTCATTTGCGCTGCCAGAGAAGTAGGAGCGTCTAATTGCATCTTTGCATTGACTTAACATGTAATTCATCTGCGTGAATGATTATACTTGCACTTGGTGTGTGGAGACAGTAACTGTACTTTGACTTTTACCATTTTTTAAAATTCAGATAAGGAAAAAAAAAATGTTTGACAATTTTTTCTTCAAAGTTAATGTTTGGCTCTCAAAGGTAAAAACTGAGCTGAAATAAATTCTACAGCCCATACTGTGTCAGCCCGGTGTTAATCTTCTGTTTCATAATGCTAACTCAAGTATCAAAATATACCGTGGAGCTACCAGAGTAAGAGGCGAAATTGAAGATGACTCATCTGGAGCACAAATGCACTGCATCCACAAAGCAGTGCAGAAGAATGAGGCTTTCTGACGGCAAAGTCGAGCACTGACAATGTTGAAAATAGAGCATACACTTACACTTACATTGGTGTTTTGGTGTGATTTTCTTGAAATAGCAAAATTGCATGGGAGAATTAACCCTGCATTGTTGTACAGGCTGAGCTGCACTCAATTCACCATTGGTAATACCCCCAATATTGACAAGAGCCTCGTTCTCTCTAAACTGACTGCAACTGATGAAAAAGCCCAGCGAAAGCTCCAAAGATGGACAGTGTACATACATAAAAACGGACATACAGAGGTGAAGGTCAGGTGCAAGTAGCCAGGTAGACAAACAAGCAGCCATATTGTATTATGATTGGCAAATACATGCTGGTGAAGAGAGACAGGAGCATCGAATGTGTGATCGGTCAGACAGGCAGAGAGGGGGTTTGGCAGACGGGCTCAGAGGTGTGCAAACATGCAGGCCTCTGGATGGCCAGACACACAAACAAACAGCGAGAAGAGCAAACTCTGAAATGAAAAAGGCAGATACATGGACAAGTGAGTAAACAGGCACATGAAAGACACGCAGGCCAAGGGGAAAGAGGACCGGAGGCTGCTGGAGCCGAGGCTGGGGAAGGGGAAGGGAGGGGGTTCACTCAGCATCTTATGATGGTATTGCTCTACTTTACTTTTCTTCCTGTCATCAAACACACTCAATCTTTCCCTGACACACTTATACACACTCACACACACATGCTGACAGACACAGGCATACAGCCAAGCAATCCAGTGCTTACCCAGGCATGCCAGGCTGAGTGCCATCAGAAGCCAGGGAGAGGCAGCGTGAGGCTTTTGAACACTTACACACACGCATTTACTAACACACACACACACACAGGAAAAGTGACAGAGAGCAGTGACATCTGTTTCTGGCTCCTGTTCACGCAAAGCTCCTTACAATCCCCTGGAACAGAACTCATGTCATTCCCATGATCAAAAACTGTTGATTTACTATTACTCTGCAACACACGTGTTCCACATCAAGAGAGGAAATACTCCAAAAAGCCCTGGTGAACTTCAACAGATTAGTGGAAACAACTGTTTGGTATTGTAGGATTTTGAAATGTGTCTTTTTTTAGGAAGAATTTTGTTACCAGGTAAAAACAGGCAATAAAAAACCAAGCAGAGTCACTGACATGACAAGATTCAGGGATACAGCACAGTCATGGTATCAGATCAAGAGGGAACTGCAGCGTACAGCTACAGATACTTGTGTGAATGACATATACATCTACAGTGTTAGGAGGTGGTACTTAGTGATGGGAAGAACAGTTCTTTTGACTGAACTGAATCTTTAGAACCCGTTCATTTCAATGATTCGTTCAAAAGATTTGCTCACCAAATCAGTCAGTGCTTCGAAGCCCTGTCCTGCTGGGTGCAGTACACGAGTCAATGACACGGCGGCGCTGATCGGGAGTTCATTCATTGAACGAGCCCCTCGCCTCTCCTGCTGCTGAAGTTACACGCTGTTCACTAGGTGACATATGTCGTTCATTCGCCAAGTCGTGAAGGAAGAATCACTCCCCTGCCCTGAAAAACTCACCTCTCTGTGTGTCACCGACATTCACATCCTGACGCTAAACGAGTGTGAGTTGTTGTTCTTTTATACCGCAGAAAAGTAGAGCGATTGAAACAAAATAAACATCGCAGCTGTAGCGCAGATTCTGATACTGTTAAAGATATCAAATAGCGTGCTATTTTCTCGTTGCTAGGCAGTTCGTAAACAACACTACATTCTTCCTCCTCTGCCTGCCTCAGTCATTTGGAGGTCATTCCTTTTGTTCACAGTCTGACTGATACATGCCGTTCATTCACTGAGCAAATCACAAGACTCTGCTCGCGGGCTAGCTGGCTGTGTGTCATTTGCCAAAGAGTCAAAGGCGGAATTTCCACTCCCAACCGGCATGCCAACATTGCGGCTGAGCTCAACTGAACTGAGAAAAGAACGAATCAGGTCTTGGAGTGATTCCGTTCACATTATTCACTCAGCAGTTCTGTTCTTTTGAACGAATCGTTGATGAACGACCCAACACGAGTAGTACTTCATTAGGACCTTTAATTAAAAAGGGGAGGTCATGGGGCCGACACGAACCGTTCTCAAACTTTGAATTGGGAAGCTGCTTGGTTAAGCCAACTTTGGTAAAGAGTACTGGTTGTGCAGGATGAACCATAAGCCAGTCTATCCATGTTGACAATCTAATCCATAACCCCAGCAGCAGAAAGCAGGATGATGCAGTCAACTATCTGCGGTGAACCAGAAAGAGACAAAATTGTAGAATTAAAAGGAGTTTCTGCATTTAACTTGACCCTTATTTGCATCACAAGTACTGCAGTTAGACCAATTATCTCTGACAACCCTATTTTGCTTTTAACAATAGATGAAACAACCTCATGCAATGGGATTTTGCATGTATTTTATGACAGGTTATGACTCAGCTGTACAGTGTTTTACCTTCCTTTGGCATGTTTGGTTTGACAAGCAGAAAAAAATGTATATCTCTCACACCTTTCGAAGCCGCACTTCCCCCCAACACTCGTCCGCATAACCTGACGATAAAGCTGTTCTTTTTAGAACAAGTGTAGGTGAGGTTTTGACCTTTTCTCACTTTGCTCTCATCTTCATGCACCTTGAAGGGGGTGAACTTTTGCCAGACTTTCCCTCTCTCTGCAACACAGACATTACAGAGAAACGCTATCAGCAACAAGCTGGTGAACACAGAGAGACACCGGGGATCTTAAAACCTCCACAGGAGCTGATGAGGGCAGAATCAAGACAAGAAAAGATTCAAATATAGAACATTTAAAGGCTAAAAATGGCAATTTAAAAAAGCACATCCTCTGTGTCTGTTTCAGTGAAGATATTTGGTGATATTATCCTATCTCAGGCCTCTTGCGACAAAGAGAGAATCAGTTTAAATGCATTAAAAGAAGCAGGTTTTCAATCTCTGATCTCACTGAGAAGGTAAAAACACAAAATTTAACCAAAACGTTTGGCTGTTCCTTTCTTAAGTTTGTTTATTGTATTCTGTACACTCCCTTGGTTGTAAGTATACTCATGCATAAATACAGAGCAGCAGCAGAATCTGTTATATTAATGATACCCAAGGTCTTATAAATTTCCAATTTTGTGGCTTAAGGAAAGGGGTGCTTCCCTTGCCTCAAGTTGAATTTCATTTAAATGTATTCCTACACATCAGAGACCCTGTATTTCCAAAACTCTCATACAAAGTACTTATTGTGTTGCTGCTGCAATGGCCCAAATTTCCCACAGGGATCATTAAAGTTTTATCTTCAAATGCAGAGCTAAATATAGGCCTAGTGGCATATGCTTGGACTTGAAAAATAACACCTGGTTAAGCTGCAGGAATCACTGCGCCTCATGCTCCAAAACTTATCATATTCACACTTTAAAAAGCTGTCAAACTTAGTCACTAATATGCTGGACTATTCCGCACTGTGCCTGAACTTCTATCCTACTTTGCGTAGCTTTAAAATTGTCTGTGAAGAGATAAGGGATGACTGGAAAGTTTCTTACTGAAGTCACGTCTTCTCCTCTAATATCGCTCACTTACAGCATCAAATCTCTCCCCCTCTCTTGTTCCCCTCGCTGTATTTCGCTGTAATTTTCAGTGTGAGCTTCTTCATTTGAGGCCCCTATGTTCTGTCTTTATGGATGGCCCCCTCCTTTTTCTCTGTCTCGGCCCCCTCGGGCAGAAAAAAATGATCCAACTTAAAATGAAAGTGTGCCATTTAAATGAGCGAGAAAAAGAACAAACAGAGAGGAGTGGTAGAGAGAGAAAAGGGTGAGAGAGGAAAAAGATAGGAAGGAGAGGTTGATTGGGGGGAGGACAATGTGTGAAATGAGTAACAGGGAATCAAGGTTATAAGGCAGGGGAGGGATGTGAACTGAAAGCCCCCGGTCTCATGCCATCGCTTGAATTTTCGTGAAGCTTAATATAGAGATCTAACTGTGACTAAGACACTTTGAGAGAGGAAGTGAAAATGACTACGTAGAGGCACACTGCTTCAAGAAACCACATGTTCGAGCAGTTGCTGGATATTGGCAGTGACCTGTCCATATGCTGTTTTTACTGCAAAGTGAGTCGAAAAGTGAGAGCTTGTTTTTATCTTCTTGAGACTTGGATCAAATATTCATTTTTAACCAGAGTTCACCAAGAAATCCATCATGTAAAAAAAAATAATAAAAATACTAACACAGAGGAAAGGACCCAAAAATGCAGACTTAAAAACTGTTTAACAGACAGAAAAGGCAAAAGAGAGACATATCTTACTTTCAAAAGTCCAACCAAAAATCTAAATCCAAACACTACAAAACCAAAACACTTGAGAGAACTGAAAAACTATGAGAAGGTCAAAAAACAAAAGACGAAGACGAAATACACACACACACCCAAACTCACAGTGAACCCACTTATAAGGATGTAAAGACAGAGGCTGTGTGTCAACGCTTTTAACTTTCTCACTTATCCTTGTTTGTTCTCTTTACTTGCCGATGCTGCATTCCAGTTGTACTCAGAGGTCGGAATTTCCGAGCTCCGAGTTGGAAATTCATCTGGAACGCCCCCCTGAAGTCAGATTTCTGACTCAGAAAATCGGACGATCCTCGCCAACCCTGACTTGACGACAACATCATTATCCAAGATGGCAGCGCAGTGCATCAACAGTAAAGAGTAACAGTAAAAGCTCTTGCAATGGGTTACTTATAAGCGCTTCTGTTTTGTTTTTGTGAAATTAAATATGTGGTACATGTTGTACTGCCCACTGTTTAACTGTGAACACGGTGCTATGGTGTTTAAAAGAGTAAAATACTGTGTTGTGCGTTGTTTACAACTGGTATAGCTAACAACAACTAACAACAGCTGGCTAATAACAGCCGACTTGTTAACTGGAACGCCATCAATTTGGGTATAGCGTCATTCCCAGTTCCAACATTCAACTTCCGATGTAACTGGAACACAGCATTAGCCCCGCCCACCAGAGATGCATGGGCGAGATGCAAAGATACAAAGAGAGGAGAGAAGAATCGAGGAAATTCCTCCTAAGACGTGTGAGACGTTACATAAAGTGGGATCTGTTTGTGATGAGGGGCAACTGTAGATCAGCGGTAGAGTCCGCTCCCAATTGGAAGGTCGGGGGTTTAATCCCTGGGCTGTCCACATGCCTTATGTATAAAAGATTATATACAGTATATATATATATATATATATATATATATATATATATATTATATCTAAAGGGTGACAAACTTGTATGTACAAAGTTAAAACAGACTCTTTTAAAGGCTTAATGTCAACAGTTTAGATATATTGCCAACATGTCTTCTCTAAGCTTTATGGTATCGAGGGATTTGTGCACACAGAATCCATAAATCTGAGGATCATATACATGGTTGGAGAAATGTCAAATTTATAAGAACAAATAGTCAAGACTGCTTTTTCTTTTCAAAGCGACAGATTGTCCCTTGCCATCTTGGGGGAATAGAGAATTTCACAGGGAGTCTTTGAAGCTTAAACATACTTCACATGTGCCATACTGTAGCGGTGTTATATGCCATATACTGTGGGCGTGAGTCTGGCTTTCAGTCGTATGTAGCTTCCTCAGAGTGATCTACTGCAACACATGCTATAGCAGAGTCTTCACCCACTTTTATGGATTCAATAAAAGACCTCTTCCACTCTCCAATAAAGATTAAAGAGCTTTGATCTAGAATATGGATACTTTCCATTTTCTCCTACACAGAAAAGACGGTTTAGTGTCAGTATGGAGGAAAGCAGAAGGTGCAAAAGCACTCGGGCGCTTTTGTTATAGAAGCACGAAGAAAAATTGAATCGTTTCCAGCAATAAAAATTTTCTGTTACAGTTATAATAAATTTGTTTCATACCTTCTTTACTCCTTCACTTACTGTAAAAGAAGATGTAATAACACAGAGGCTTCAGTCGTTATCGCAGGGGTTGTTGGTTTGACTCCCAGTTTCGACCCTTTGCTGCATATCCTCTCCCACTTTCTACTCCCCTCATCGCCTGTCATTTACTAGTATGAATATTGTTATTAAGTCAGAATATGCCAATTTTGTGTTAGTAATACAACATTATATCATGCGCTTTATGTTTCCTTTTCTTTCAGCTCAATCAAAACAATTTAATCTGACAATAGTCTGGATCTTAATAGAGGACATCTGATCAAGACTAAACTCCCTGAGAGATACTTTTGTTTATGATCTGGGGTTGAAGTTTAGCCACAACACCAATGAACAGTCTGTCAGCTTAAGATGCACGCAGATGTTATTTTTGAAGATCTTGATTCAAGCTAATTAAGCATTAAATAAATGCTGATCATTACTAGAGTGAATTGGGTTGCATTTTGCGTCTTCACCTCCGTTGCTGCCAAGAAAAAAAAAACAAATCAGTTTTTATCCACCACCGGCTGCAATCATAGAGTTATTAATACAGAAAATAACTGTCCCTGACTAGAAATCCATGGGATAATGACATGATTAGAGATTTTTTGTTTGACAGTAATAGTAACAATTGGGATGCAGTTCACAAAAAAATGGATTACAGCCATTGATGGCTCTAGTTATGATACTAGTTTTGCAGCTCGGTGCAGTTTGCTCTTGTTTTGCACCGACACGGGGAGAGGAGCAGTAAACCGCACAAATCTGAGGAGTTCAAATCTATCCACTTAGTGATGATGAGCCCTCAGGTGGGGAAGGGTCACTTACTTTCCTACTTTGAGTCAATCATGACAGTTTTCCCTCATGTTTGTCTGCAAAATTGTTCTACAGTTAGATGTGAAGAATTAGAATTGACTGAGTGGGGTAATATTATAGAAAAATTGAAATCATTTGTGAGTCTAAGTGTGCAGGTCGACTTGGAGAGTGCAGAGAGGAAACCACCTTGCCTGAAGACTGAAAAGTGTTATCCGGGGTGATTTTTTCTTTCTTTTTCTGAATCAGGAATATTTAACATTTCTGACATACGCATGCTGCTGTGTTTCTTGTACTGTGTTTCTTGACAGCTTTGTTTCATTATCAGTCAGCCTTACACAATTCTATTTCAATTTTTTAAATTGTTTTTTTTTTTCAGGATGAACAGAATCAACATTTTTAGCTGCTTAGATTTTGTTTTGAATGGCAGCATACATTAAAAAGCGTCTCTTTGGTGACAATTAACCATCCATATTCAGACTGTTTTGTTCACGTTCAAAGGAGAGCATGGCCTGAAGAAGTTGAAGTAAAACAGAAAAAGAGAGCATGTAATTAGAGATAAGAAGAAACCAGCTTTGTGCTGCAGTGACTCAAGTGGTGAAATCCTGACTCTCAGGCATGGCACATCTGCGCTCAAGCAACCAAGAAAACTTAAAGTAGAACATCAATCAGGTTTAGCGAGACTTTAGAACTTCATCTCTGTAGAGAAAACAGTCATCCAGACATCTGCGGATGGCACAAGACAAAGCAGACGTACCCACTTTGTTTTTTAAATGTGGCCCACCACGAGAGCAACAGATGAGGACTCTGATGATGCCACAAAGGAACCACAGTCAGGGGACAAAACTTGGACATAGCTTCTGCTCTGAGATCAACAAGTCCTCCAACCAATATAACAGCGAGCTCCAAATATCATTTAATTTTACTCTTTTAAGCAACCCACTGGAGCATTATTAGATTTAAAAAAGAAAAACACAGATTTGATAAAAAACGTCTCTGTTTGTTCATGGCTCTGGTCCCACTTGGATTGATTTTATTTTTTACTACCTAAAGTGTCTTTAAATAGTGATTATGAAGCCAAAATCACGTTACCTGTCATTTTTAAGGGCTTTTCTTCTGCAAGGCTCCAGTAGATCATCAGCAATTCGCCTCTTAATCATGGGTAGAGACAGCGCTGCTCTGCACACATCTTCATGCTACCTTGTAGCCTGGCAGGTAATATAAGAGCATAGACTGTATATAGAGTGGACGCCATCTGCCTCCTCGCGGGGTGAAGCCACTCCGAGAACAGCACCCTCTGTTGATGGGCTGCAGTATAGGTCATAACTCCCGCCTCCACCAGCAAAGCTAATGGGGCTGTGGACCAACTTCAGAAATTTATTACACAGAACATACATTTTTCTCCCCCCTGGTTGTGATGTTGACATGTAGTTATTGTAAGACTGGTTTGTGCTCAAGTCCTCTTTTTTCTGTGAAGCTCATTTTTTAAAAGTTATTAGGGGGTTCATGTTTTCTATGATTTACACCTGATACAGCCTATGGGCGTTCAGGGATTGAGTAGCTCTCCCAGGGGATACGCTGTTTGAGCCAAGCGTCATCACAGCGACTCTCTGCGAGTGCGCGGCCGAATGCGCACAACGCTACTGCACAGCGCTGGTTTCAGGAAATGAAGAAAAATCCCGGAAATACCGAGTGCTATTTGGCTTCAAATCCGTATACAGGCGGTAGGCTGAACCAGGTTGTCCATAGTTTATACAGTCTATGTATAAGAGCCATTCAGCTCTCGAACAGTAACTTATTCAGGTGCATGATGAAAGCTAATATCATCATTAGCTTTCTAACAAGCATTGCAATCTGCTAACGCACATGCTTGTTCCGCGATCATCCTCTCTATTTCTCCGAGTCTGGCCTGCATAGCAGGATGCCGGGGGCGGAGCTTGGATTTGTGATGTAGAAAATCCCACTGTGTCTGAACCTGAACTCAGGAGGGCAATTTTGCACTTGGTTTTTTTCATGATATATCCTCTAGCATCAGAAAAATGACATAGTAACACGTAGACAACAAGAAAAACATGATTTTCATCAGAGTGGGTCTTTAGGCATAAAGTTGCCATTGCTTTTGAAATGTCATGCGGAAAAGTATCCGAGGTCACACTTCTCTTGCAGTGTTTTACATCTTTTGCAAACTGTTTTCTATTGTATGGCACGGCTGCTGTAAAAAATGTACATGTAGCATTTGGCATCAAACAAAGGCAGTCTAAGAGAGAGAGAGAGAGAGTGAGCAGCTGAGACAACAATCTTGGAAACAAAGAAGAAAAAGGAAATAGATGAGAATGCAGTGATGTTCACAGCACAGACTGAGATTCTTGTGATTTCACCTTTCTGAGCCTGAAGACTGAGATAAGGAAACAGAAGTTAAATTTTGGCTTTCACGGGGTTCAACTGGCTGTTTATCCTGTAGCGTTTGACTCCTGGTGAAATCTATTATCTTTGTTTTAAGTCTCCGGGTATCACAGGTGAGCTCAATAAAGCTTGTTGAAGCAAAACAAGATAATGTTGGGGGAAAAACTTTCCCTTCAGACAAAAGGAATCAAAGCTACTGTAGCCAACCAGATCTTGTAACACTCCAGTTCACTAATCTTTGAGGAAGTTCTACTCAAATGTTTGCCACTTTCTACAATTTCAGAGCATGTGATTGGTTTTTCACTTCCGTACTCCATGACGTAAAATTGAGAAACATATTGAAAATGAGATGGAAAACCATGTCAGTATTACCTTTTTGTAATGCATGAGTCCCTGATGAGGTAGAGACCCCCTACTGCACCCCGGTAGAAGCAAATAAGTATATCAAAGAGTTATTAACATACACAGAATATTATGTACAACCCTTGCTGCCTTAATATCTTTTCAGATCAGAGCAGATGCTCAGCATTAGTTAGCAATGTCTTCTTCTTCTTACATCAGACAGCTACACCAGATACGGCATCATATTTTCAATCTATTCACTGGTTCCTCTAATATCAGGAACTTTAAAACTTCATAGGCTAAGATGGAAAATACAACTCCACTTCTACAAAGCAGAATTTTAATTTACCAGACCACAGGACCAGTTTCCATTTCACCTCAGTCAACCTTAAAATTGGCTTATATGTTTCCCCCTTTCTGTATGATACAGATTTAACCTTCATTTTTACCCTGTTGTAGATTCAACAACAAGCTGTCTTCACAGACACCGAGTTTTGGACACGACTTTGAGCTTATACCGTGATTTTCACCTCTGGGTCATATCTGTTTTTAGTGCAGTGCTACCTGAAGCCTCGTACCCTTGGTGCAAAGATTTATCCACATTCTCTGGATTTTTTGATATTTTTGTCCTCCTGCAGCCTCTTAATGTGAAACCTCCTCTCATCTTTCTTCCTATCATCTCATTGTTCTCTCAGGAATATCCATTTTATCCCCAGTCATGGTACCAACTTGTTGCCAAGTCAGTATTTATTTATCAATATTTTATCTCTGTCCCGACTTTTTTGAAAAGGTGTTGCTGGCATCAAATTTAAACCTTTTTTTTCTTTTCATTTCAAACTTTTGATACATTGTCTTTGCTCTTTCCAACTTTTTTCACTTTCAGTTTAACTGACTCTTAAATTATCAAAAGTTGTTTCAGTTTCACAATTCGGATTACTTATCGCTAGAAATGTTTAGTGTTTGTGTATAATGCTAACTGCATAGCTTAAAACTTCAACCAGGAAAACAAACTTTAATTGATGCTCCATTTCTCCCTAAAGTTGTTTTTGATTTTTTTAAACCTTGCTGAAAGTCACCCCCAATTTCCAAATCTGAATCGGCTACAAAAAGGCTGTATCAGACGATCGCATCTGATCGTAACCATTCAAGTTAATGTGTCAATTTCCACGAGCTTCTTACTGTTCTGCTGCGGATCGCCAGACTCCGCAGATGATCACAAGAGTTCTATTTTCTCTGGGTACCGAAGCATGCCGGATAAAGATTAGTCTGTGCTGGAAAGGAAGTCGGGCACAGACACAAAATTAAACATCCGGCTTCTTTAAAAAATAAAACACTCCATGTTTCAGGTGGACTGTATTTCACACCATGTGAACGGGCGGGGATGAACAAGTGAAAGGTTTTTAGACAGCATTTCACCCCTGTGATGACACCATGGATGAGGAGATGCTGATTTTAGAAGTCTAGAAGTAGATTTCCTCCTCTGGAAGGACACAATCTACTGCTTGTATGGTTATGTGGCTGTCTTTGTAGAGACAACTCGTTATTGTGCAATTGCACATGAATCCACGAGTTCTTGTGAGTTCTCACGATTCCAACAGTCCCTAATCCGCTAGGAAATTCGCCTCACAAACGGAACCGGTAGGAATTGGCTGACGGCGAAAATCGCCACTGTTTGGGATCGGAGCTGTTCTGGACACGGTGCAAATTCTGAACTAGTTGGTCACAAGAAACCAAGGAGTTGCTTTTGTACAGGTTGAGGGACTATCCCTTTAGGCAGGCCTGTCTCTTGTTGTTAATGGTAACCTGCTTTGCAAAGCTTTTTTCGCAATTAGTTTTCCTATTTAGCTGATTAGAAGCGGAAATAGAGACAATCCTGTTGGATGCCATCCTGCAGGCTATGCTATTTACATTAATGTTGGCCTACATGCCTTCATGTTGCAATAGGCTGTAACACACTGCAACACCAGGGGCACCATGACTGGCCTCTATATGATAAATGGTTAACTAGAAAGACTAAAATCAACCAACATACAATGTGGTGCCTCTAATTAAAATTTTAAGTTTTCTCATGAACTATGCAATAAACTGCTGCAGTTGGCTTGTCTTAGCTGGAAATATAAATTATTTACAGCTGAGGAAGAGATAATCTCCATTCTTTGGTGAAGATCAGGAAGGGAACTGCTATATATGTTGTGAGTGTGGGGAGAAAGCAAGAGTTATAGGTGAAATGAGCTGAAGAAAAAACACTTTGTCTTGTTTGTATTTCTCACCGAGATTGATGGTGAATGGTATAATCTCCACATGATCATGAATTCTTTGACATTGCACTACAGAAGAAAAAATTCAGGCAAACTTGGATATCAACAACCAACATCAGCAACCACAGGTAGCAAATTTAACCTTTTGCCACAAATTGTAACCCTCGGTTTGCTATCTGTGCCCTTCAGTGACACATCCTAGACTGGAGAACGTGAGGGGACTTCTGAGTGGTCCTGCAGAGGAGTTGGTGCGTAGACAGCTGCTAAGAGAGCCTGTTGTCATCCGTTGGAGCCAAGCAGTTGGCTGACAGATTAAGAGATGAGATGTCCTTGTTAGAAGGGTTTAAAATCCACCAGTGGATTTTCAGTAGCCGTACTGCACAGTATCTGGTGGTTGCTAGATGTCCAAAACACTTGAGTTCCTGCCTAAGTAGGCAAAGAAAATATGCATGTAAACATTGTCTGCTCTAACTGTGAGAAGCTACTAAGCAGCTCATTGATAAAGTAATTGAATTTCAGTGTTATCCCATGGAACTAATTGCACGATTTACTGCCATGTCCTTCTTGGAAAAGTCACACTTTTCTTGACGAAGCCACAATGACTGGGTCACATTTGTGTTTCTAATAACTTCATGAATAATAACTGTGAATGCTCCAATATGCCCTGTTCGCAAGAGTGGAATGAAATATCCAACTTGGGTTTCAGGGAAAGGAAAGTAATAATTTTCTGATGCCATCTCAGCTTTTTTCTCATTTACTTTGGAATAAGGCGCATACTAGAAAATTTGACCTTATTTAGCTCCAATTAGAGCAACTTAGACAAATTCAAATGGAGTCGGACCTTGAAAGAACCACTGATGTGCTTTTTTATCTGAAAAAATTGAATTGGACGGCTAGTCTTGTGCTTGAGGCTAGTTAAAGCTTTAGCGTGGCATTTTAAGTAGTTATGCAAAGACCAAGAAACTGCAATAAACCTGCATTCAAAAGCTTGTGGGCAGAGCCATTCCACTCAGCCAATCTCCTATATGATGTCAAAAAAAAAGCACCCAAAGAGGATGGTGATGTAGGGGCTCCTGCAGGCCTAAATGTGGAAGTGAGTACTCTTTGCACTGAGGCTACAGTCCTCATCACTGCTCACTCTTGCACAGGACTAGCTGAACCAGAGGAGCTTGCAGCATATCAATGACAACATATAGTAGGTTTCATCCTTTGATTTTTAAGGCAGTCAAGAGGAGTATCTGTCTCACACAGAACAAGAGGGCTTTTCCATTTTGGACAATAGAAGAGTAACACCTTATTTGGATCCACCATTGACACTCTGCATGCTATCAGACATATTTAGTTGCATGTCAACAATGTGTTGTGCTGTTGTCAACAGTTTCCACTTTAATTGGATAGCCCTGATATCTGTCTCCAAATGCTTGAGACTCCAACATAGTCTCTCAATGGTTCCAACTTACAGATTGGTGATTGTCGATAGAAGAGGTTGACCGTGTACTGAGAGCTGAAAGCACAATGACAGTCAGATGAGTCAATGCAAAATGTTGGAGGTTGAAATGCACCTAAAAGTCTACAGGCAATTTGTTTAATGCATGTTGCTTGTCCTTTGAAAAAAGTGTGTTGAATGTCAGCTGACAAACTGTTGACATGCAACTACATATCTACTGATAGCATGTAGAGTGTAAAAAGACAGACAATCAAAATAAATTGTTACTGAAAATTCGACTGAATGGATTTTTCAACCATTGAATTTTGTCTCTCTCTGCCAAAGCTGGTGCTGAATAAGAGAAGGTGAGGAGGTCATTCTCTTGTTCAAACTCAATAAAGAGACGACACTTACAAAATACTTTTCACCTGAACAGATAGACTTTTCTGAAGCAGTCCTCCTGTAGATAATGAATAAAAGGATTTAGTAAAAACTTGACTCTTTCAGTATCTGAAATGTCTTTGAATAATAAATATGGACACCATTGACCCGGATGAAAGTATTTAGGCTATATGATTATGCAGACAAAGTGAAGTTCAGCGTATTTATGCCGTTCTAACCTATAAACCCTAACAAAACTTGGGTTACAACCTGCTCTACATTTTTTTTTGCAGAACAGATAGTTTTTCCTTCAATATGTTAGTAGTGTAAATTGTGCTTGTTGCTTCAAAAAGTGTTGCAGAATATCAAAATCATGAGCAAATATCAGCATCAGTCATTGTCAGTGAGCAGTGAATTTGCAAGTAAAGTAAAACAGCCTGAAATTATAGGGACAGAAGCGTTCTGTCAAATAGAATTCATCATTGACCAGATGTAGAGGGATGAGTGTGAACTTAGCTAGAATACTGGAAATCGTTCTGACTCACTGAAGCTCTTCACAAATAATAGAAAGTGCTTTTATGTTCTGGAGGTGGTTTTGACGTCATCTTCCTCATATTATCAGATCTAACTGTCATGAAGAAGACAGATACTTATCAGAACAAAGTGCACTGATTTTTACCTGTATCATCTGTTCTAAGCCAGTGGGAGAGTTCAAAAGCCCCAGTTTAGCTCAACACCCTGCATATAGAGCAGGTGAAGGAGAAGATGAAGTATCCAACTTTTACAAAGGGGTGGTCAAAGTTTGGTGAAGTTACCAAAATCACTTGGCTGTGCCTAAGAAGATATTATTTTGGCTGGGGACCAAAATAGATTAACTTTTTGTCACTACACTCCAACATATCATTGGCAAAGGTGCCATCTTGAAATACTGAGGCGTGTGAATTGACTGCATATACAGCAGGACAATAAGGCAACACATTTAACAGTGTTGACGTCTTTAAACTCAAACTGAACATCAACCAATACTCTATGGGTCTGATCTCCTAAAGGTTTGCGTGAACAAAAACATGTGCAAACTTGATAGACTAAACAAACCTGATCTACTAACCGGGTGCATTGAGTCTGTTAAATGAACAAAACAGCATGCGCAATCGATTTTGCGTGTTTGCCATGATGAATATTCAGAATGTATGTAGATCATCAGAACTCGCAGAATTCTAGGAGAACCAGATGCAGATGCAAAGCACCAGCAATGTGATTCATCAAACCTGGAAACTGATTGTGGTTGCTGTTTTGCGACTATATTTAGCACGTTTAAAAGGCACGTGCAAACTGGCACAGGTCATTGTGGAGAGAAGGAGGCAGAAGTGCCATGATAGACACCATGATCCTTGACCAAAGGCTTGTGATTTATTTTGTTTTTCTGGTAAATGACAATTGTCAAAAATTATAAGGTCAAAAACTGAACAGGCAATTATTGATTTTAAATTGTTTTAATCCCTTTTTTGATCTTTAAAGCACCTTTAGTTGCCTTGTGCATGAATGGCGCTATGCAAATAAACTTGCCTTTTATGCAGTTCCCCAAAACGATATGTGCAACTCCATGGCATCAAACTTCGTAAATGGTGACAGCTGATAGCGCACGCAAAATGCTTGTTTAAAGAGGGCAATCTGCACCACTTTTGCACCTGTTATCAATTGAGTACGCAATGATAGTAGATCACTCGCAACACGCACACGAATAGCACATGCAATTTTTTAGTTTGCACACGCAATTTAGCGTTCGCTATTTGGGATCTTGGTAGATCAGGCCCTACGAGTATGCCCAATCATCAAGTGCCCTGTTTTTAAAAGAAATTCAGACCAAATTTGCCACCACTTCAGTAAATTTTCTTCTTCTCTATGCTTGTTAGGACATTTGGAATTAGAGCACACTCACACACACACAAGCAGAAAGAAGGCAGCTTTCATGGTTTGAGAGGCATAGATAATTTGAGTTGAAATGAGCTTGTCTTCATTAATGACATTCAGTGCTAAACCGTTTATCTTCATATACCCAGGTTACTGTGCTAAAATGACTCCCTCTGTGCAATTCCTACTAATAGCTGTCTTTCATGTTGCAGAGAGGAAAGCTTTTTCTTTTTGCCTGTGATGAATTAAGAGTGCACATGACACATACATGTGAAAACACACTGTCAGAAGGAAACATTAAAGTCCAGACACTTGTTTCTCTGCAGGCCCTCCTTCTCCTCACAGTTTATGTAAGGTGATGACAGGTGTGAGCTATAAATGACTCATCCCGGGTGGAAACTAGCAGACAGTAAGGAAACAAAAGATGAAATGGGCATGGGTATTATCAGACATGGTGGTCACAGTTTATGATTAGGTGACTGCACTCAGGCAAGACACCTAGAAATACTCTAATATGTGTCTGACGCAAACTGAAGACCGACTGTTCTTAGGATTACATTTTTTTTTACCACACATTTGCCTGGTTTTGAAGAGGATTCCGACATAAACCCATGTTTTCTAATCCGATTATTTCTAATTGTTACCTCTGCCAAGGAGGTTATGTTTTCGGTAGCGTTGGTTTGTTTGTTGGTTTGTTTGTCTGTTAGCAAATTTACGGAGAAAGTAACAGATGGATTGACCTGGAATTTTCACCAGAGGTGCGATTCAGCCCCAGGACGATCCCATTAAATTTTGGCGGTGATCCGGATCGCCTTCTGAATCCAGGAATTTTTTGAAGGATTCTTTATCATTGTGAGATAGGGCAAATTTTGGAATTTTTGCATTCAACTCTATAAAAATGTCCAGAGTCTTTAGTAAAAAATTACACAAAAGGATCTCAATGAGTTTTATGAGGTGTCAAAGGTTGATCCTGATCCAGACAAAATTCCGGATACTGTGATCCAGCACACACAAAAATAAGGGTGTCGTTGGAATTTTCAATGCTGAAAGATGGCCGGCACAGTGGTGTAGATAGGTGGCACAGTGGTGTAGTGGTTAGCACTGTCGCCTCACAGTAAGAAGGTCCTGGGTTTGAATCCGGGTCAGGGCATCTCTTGTTTTAGGAACATTATGAACAGTGAACATACCAGTTTAAACACAAATAAACGTTAACAAAAGACACGTAACACTAAAAGTTTTGGTGTGAATCACAATATAAGGGGGGACATGAGCTGCTTGGCGGAGGTCTGCGCTCTCCAAGTGCTTTTCAAGTTCTCAACTGAAACTGCATTGAAATAATACTTGGGAACATTGCAAAATCAAAGATTCTGTATGTGATAAGAAAACACGACCTAATATGTTATGTTTGTCTTAAACTGCTTAAAGACTATTTGAAAAGTAATCATTGATCGAGCATTAGGTAACAATTTCTAAAAACAATAAGAAGAGTGTGCTGAAACAAAACAATATCGCTCTGGAATCGAATTATAAATCTGTCACTTTGATGATTTTAGAGTGGCAGCCCATAAGAATTGTTTTAATTCCAATAAATATGAAAAATGGTCTTCTCTCTATTGCTTATAGTCTGTCTTTCCCCCTCAGATGATACAATTTCTCCTACCTAATCTGCTCTGCACCTTTTTCTCAATCAATAAATCAGTCAATCTTTATTTGTTTACTGCCAACTCATAACAAATACTTTCTCAAGGCACTTGAGACTGCAGGTTCAAATCTAACTCTTCAGGCAAAGATCTGATATCATTTCACCACGAGGAAATCACTGTGCAACATTTGGCAAGTATCAGCAGCATGGAAAGACTTCCCTAAACCTTAAGCCGAATCAGACTCACATTAAACAGCCAATCACTGCAACTACATTCAGTCTATAGAGGGAGAAAGATGAAAATGCAGGAGGTTGCAAAACTGCAATTTAAGAACAAGGTAATGAATTTGGCTTATACATGTTTTAAGAACTTTGCTCAGCTAAAGAAAAATGGAGAAAGGATGATACTAGCAAATGAGACCAAGTGTCAGCTACATTACTTTCCAATGTATAAAAAAATAACTGTTCAGGATATAGGATAGCTTTCTCAGATAGCTTTTAATCCCTTCCCTCATTCTTATGCATTATCTTTAAGGAAAAAGATAACAGGTGTCCCAAAAATGACTCGCTGTCTCTGAACAACTCCATAAGCCATCACTGTATGAGGATACTGTATTAACACTTGCATAGAGAGGTATTAGAGGACATTAAAATATGAAAGAGACAGACCACTTCTTAGCGTGGAGTCCTTTAATCTCTGTGGCACACATTACCATGAGTGTGGACAACAATGGACCTCCGGCAAAGGAGCCTAATCCTGGTAAAAGCAATTCACTTAAAGGGAGAGAACGCATCAGTGTAACTTGGCAGCTTCTTACTGCAACAATACAGCTGAGTCTGGACATTTCAATTGCCAAGTGTCCTCAATAAACTGTGAAGGATTAAACATTTTTAGAACTCTGACAAGCGTATATAGTTTCCGGGCATAGACCACAAATGTGGCTCAATATCCTAAGTGGGCATCCATACTGAAAAAGACAGGTGGATAGCATGAGAATATGTGCAATGACGTTTTCAGTCATTGCTGAGATGAAAGTAATGTACAAAACCTACTATATCAATTTAATTTAATGGAATAGGCCATAAGACTTCAAGAAAAACCTGGTCTAAACCTATAGAGCCTTATGTTCTTACAGTACATACTGTATTTTATGGTAGCAGCGGTCCTTGTGGTCACTCTGGTTTAAAGAAGAGGACTTTTCTCTGTGGCTGTAAGGAAATCTGCGGACATTCAGGGGGTGGTGGGTGCTGAGCAAAATGTGGTTTCGGTGATCACAGACTACAACTCGTAGCAGCGCATGCCCCCTGTAATGACCCGCCATAAAAACTGTTGTTCAGGACTGCGCTTACATTGTTACTCGCGCTTCCTACCTGCTCTGCTACCATAACAACCGTTGTTCTTGTTTACATGCAACATTTTTTTTCTCATTCATAAAATTCTTAAATCGGGACATTTCTGGGGACAGCCCTAGCCGGGGACAGGTCATCCAAAATGGGGACTGTCCGCGGAAATCGGGGACATCTGTTCACCTTAGTTAAGAAAGCGTAAAGGAGGGAACTTGTGTTGCCATGTACCCAGGCACCTCATTTTTAGTCCCTTTAACAGAACTGTAAAGTCTGACTTTGTGACAAATCTAAAGGGAAGAAAACACTCAGAAGACAGACCAATTTGAGTACAACTAATACAACACAGGATCACCAAGTCTGCAAGGAATATGAAGTAATTTGCTGTGTGAGTCCTCACTGTCAACCTTCACCATGAAGTTGAGGATTACTAATCTGACACTGACTCACTTTTGAGCTGCTTCAAGTGGCTCCTGGAGAAACTGCAGATTTTGGAGCTTTGGTGTTGGTTTCATTATTTCGGCTCCAAAGATTGTTGAAGACTTAAAGACGTGATGACCTTTTGCAACAACAGTTGTTCAGCCACGTTAATTCCTCTGAGACAGGATAAGAATATAAGGTACTGTCCCAATATGAAATACTGTTTTCAAGGAATTTCCACAGGAGAAAAGCATTAAGCCAAAGAGGAAAACATGATAACTTTCATGCATGAATGTTACACTCATTGATTGAGGTCAAATTCTTAAACCTAGCTTGTATATGGAACAAAAATGAACACTTTTGAAGACTTTTGCTCAAGTCAACTTGGGTCAAACTTCAGTCCAGAACTCACTGTTGCCCTCTGACATGCATCAAGACAGCCAAGCCCTAATAACATCCTGGTTATTGGACCATGACTCCTGCTCCTGTCAGGTGATAGTACAGGCCCTCCCTCTCAGGGAGCTGTCACCATTAAGAAGAGGAGAAGCTCATTGTTGAGTTGGAAAAAAGACCAAGTCTACAGTAAAAGACAATGGTCTGTGATCCACAGCTGAAGGCGATTTTTATGTGAATAGGATCTTGAGGTGAGCAACCAAGTCCCATAACACAAAAACACCAAAGTCTGGGATCGTTTTAACCCTTAACAAAACTACAGGGACATAGTACTTTTAGGAGACAATAAAATAATGACATGAAGCTGCAAAAATGGATCAAGTTGGACTGATTATTAAAAACAAGAATTGGGTAATTATTTTCAAAGTTGAAGCACTAAGACATGAACTCTTCATCACAGCAGTCAGCTACAGTCAGAGAGGTCTTACGATAGAGACATCACTCTGAAAGCTTCCTCCTGGGGTCTAGACTCTCAGCTCAGGTGTGGATTTACAATCCTTCCTCTCAACTACAAAGCCCCTTATGATCAGGCACCAGAATATCTCATAGACCATATAGCAGATGCCCCAATTTGAAATAACATGTGGAGTGCAATGATAACCAAACAGGAAGTAAGCTGACCCGGGAATGAAAGGAAAGGAAAGGCCACCTTGTTGATTTGTGGCAATGACACAAATGTTAACACCACCTGAGCTGTATCAAAAACCAAAACTGCTCTGTGGAGGTTTTGTTTACCACCTCGCACCCTACAACATATTTATGCTTCTATTCTGACTGATATGTTTACATATATTAAAGAGTCCAGCCTCAAGCAGACTTACTCAGATATTATCATGGTAACACTTTATTTGACGCCTATCTCTAAAACACATTATAAATATATGTATAATGTGTTATAATCATGTTATAGCACTGTATAACTATGTTATAAACACTCATAAATGATCATAATGCTTCATAGCAACACATTATAAAGCATTTTATCATGACTTACAAGGTCGGGTATTATAATGTGTTATAACTGTTAACAACAGTTGCATTGCATTATCTATGTGGGCATTGTCAGTGAGTTGTTAACAGTTATAACACACTATAATACCTGACCTTGTCATTAATGACAAAATGCTTTATAATGTGTTATATAATCATTTATGAGTGTTTATAACTATAGTTATACAGTGCTATAATGTGATTATGACGCATTATACATAATATTTATAATGCGTTTTAGAGATAGGCATCAAATAAAGTATTACCTAAGGTGACCAGACATCCCCGATTTACAGGTAACGGTCCCTGAATTGGATGGCCTGTCCCCGGCAAAAACTGTCCCAGAAAATGTCCCTGATTAAAGCATTTCATGAATGAAAACAAAAATGTTGCGTGTAGGCTAGAACAACAGTTATTACAGTAGCCAAATGGGTAGAAAGCACAAGTAAGCAGTCCTCAACAACAGTTTTTACGGGTACGGGGGTTATTACAAGGGGCGTGCGCTGCTACTAAATAGTACCGAGATGTTGTCTGCACCAAATGTCCCCGGATTTCATTACAGAAATCTGGTCACCTTAGTGTTACCATCATCATTATTGTCGTTGTTCATAAAAATAATTCACATATTTCATTTCCAAATTATTGGCTAATTTTTGTAACTTAAGTGCAGTATAAATGATTGATTTAGTAATTAACTGATGAAATGGTTTACTATGTCTACTCTGACAGGATTATAAAAACAAAAACTCGAAGTCAAAGACATTGGAGGAAGCACAGATGCGACTCATTATCCTTGTAAGGGTTGAATTTGGTGAGCAGAAGCACAGTTTTTGATCAAAATTCCACAGAGCCATTAGAGAATTGCAATTCATTGAGACTGTCACATAACCACCTACTTTAGAAAAACATCACAGTTATTTTTTTGACGGTGCCATGTTGTATGTCAGACAGGTGGTAAAGCAGCTTTCTTGATTCCAAAGAAAATCATTCTTTCATTAAATGATTATAACGTCTGACACCTGCTGGCTGCAACAGAGCCTGGGGGTTCAGCTTTGGTACCACCCTGAAAGACACATTGGACAGAAAAATCCATCAAATGGTATAAATTATTCACAGTTTCAACCTGATTACAGCATCCACACGGCGACAAACTGCCCCAGGAAAAATCAGTGCCTGTTTACCTCCAGGTGGCTTTGGATCTTGTCACTCACTCTGTATGGAAATACAGATGCTTAAGTAGCAAACCAGAAAATAAGCAATTAGAGGCATCAATCGCCTCGCTCACCAACAACTTGGATTTCTCACAGGGATTCTTACTATTGATGTTGAAATCGTCCTTGGTGTTGTTCCCTCTCTAAAATCCCAGGAGACTCTCCATTTCTCCTGTGTGAGTTGCTTTTCCTTCTCTGCTGATTTTCTCAAAAATAAAAAAATAAAAAATTCTCCCCTCTCATAGGCTTTTCTCTTTCCCTCTTGGTTCTCAAACCTTTTTCTTTTTTTTCCTCGCTCTCTTCCTTTCATATTTCCTGGGTTTGCATTTGCAGGTTTGAGGAGTTCTTACGTAGTCAGTGCACACCCCATCTCTCCATTACCTTGTCAGAAGCAGCAGACAAGCACCTGCCTGCTGATGAGGAAGGGGGGAGACAGTGACGGAGGAAAGGAAGGTAGGAGTTCAACAGCTGTGCATAATAGATATGGGTCAGGATGGGGACATTACATGATACAAGAGGATAAGAGGCTATATTAGCATATGAGGCACAGCCCGCAGGTGACATGTCAAAAGGCATGCATGTACAGATATGGATTGCTTTTTCCTGCAGAAAACTACCTGTCGTAACTTAGCTATATGGCACTTTTCACGTACATAAGATGAAAATTTTCGAAGTGAAAGCAATGCCAGCGCAGTCCTCGATCTAAATACTTTACAATGGATTTTTTCCCCTTGGGCCTCTTGCATACAATGAGACTATAGAAAAAAGATTTGCTACTCATGGCTGAAAGAAACAGTGTCTTGGGGCGTATATCATATTAGTACTACGGGTTAAAATCCATGTAAGTGCATAAATCAGTAGTATGTAATAGGGTCTTTATACATGAAGAGATTTTACTTCAGAGATATGTTAGTTTAATTTTAAAAAGATACATTAAGCACATCAGTTGTGGAAATTATGTATCTTAGCTTCGTAGCTTCTTATGGCCTGTATTTGGGATTCATAATTAAGAAAGGGCCATGGTTCAAATCCAACATCAGAGCAAGTTAAAAGTGACTTCTTAACCAGTTTTCCATGAATAAAACACTTCCCACTGAAATAAAATACCACTTCCCTAAAGCACATTAATCTCAAGTTAAACTCTATATGATCCACGTCTCTTGCGCCAGAAGAGGTAATGTATGTGGACTTTCAGAGGATAATACCTTATGACAATTTCCTGTATTAGGCTTCATTCAGAACAAATCAGATGGTTGTCTGATATCCAGGGTTATCTTAATAAGTTCTAATTAATCCCTTAATCGTCATTCACTCCCCTTTTCTTATTATTTTTTCTCCCTTTTTAACTTTTCCGCTTGATATCATCATGATGTATTGAAGCCATTATTTCACTTGAATAATTATCGTACTATGATAATGAAGTCAGTGCAGTCCATTTGAACTCAAAGCAGAATGAATAAACCCTGCGGTTTTTGTTCAGGCTGAACGAGAGCGTTTTCACCTACCTGTTTCAGTCTCGCTGCTGTGCAGTCGACTGGACGTGCTTCTGTTTCCAGTTCACTGAATGCAGGTGTCAGCCAAAGACTTACAGCCAAAGTGGGAAGGAAGACAGCGGATTGGCACACCTGCACTGTGATTCTATTGAAACAATATTAACCCTAACAAGTCACATTTTTAGCCAGGTATATTAAGGTTGGCGAGAGGTTGTCTCATCCAATGACACATCTGTGAAGTTGTCAACACAAGCTCTGAGGCGCCATACTGTGTCTCCTTAAAACAGTCCTGGACTTTTACATAAGTCTGTGCCTTTTTAGTTTCTTCCTTTTCTTCCCCCCCCCCCCCCATCGTTTAGGACAGCCTGAGTTTAAATACAGCTATTTGGTACCCACTGTCACATCTTAGATTTTAGAGCTCACCACACTTGGATGAACCTTGAGCGAGCTGTCTGAGTACTGAGCTGAGCCAAGTGGACTTAAACACGTCCCTAGACGTTTTAAATACAGTTATTACAATTCAAAATGAGAAAGTCTGTTTCATGCATTTTCTGTACCACTTGGGCCATAAGGGAGCTGGAGCTGATCCCGACTGTCTGAGTGAACATCCAAACTTCAATTAGAAAGGTCCTAAAACCAGGAATCAACATGCTGACATTCATTTCCTCCAAGCTGGACTACACTTTAGTAAGTGCAACATACAAAGACTGGTATTGGTAAGACTCTGGTATTGACTAGAACCAGAAGAATGGAGCACATCTCTCCTGTCTTAGCCTCTCTTCATTGGCTCCCTATTAAATCTAGAATTAAGTTTAAAATCCTCCTTATGACATATAAAGCGCTTAACGGTCGGGCTCCATCATATCTCGACGAGCTTGTTATACAGTGATCCCTCGCCACTTCGCGGTTCACTTATCGCGGATTCGCTATTTCGCGGATTTTCATAATGCATTTTTTGCACTTAACTTGCACTGAACTTAAGCGAGTAGCTGAGGAATGGGACCCTTTGATGAGCCGTTCATTACAGTTCTCCAACGTAATCGATGGTGGCATGTCGGTGTACAAGGATCTTTTTGCAAAGAAGAAAAAAGAGCGACAACAGCTGCCTATCACTATGTTCTTCTCCCGAACAAACACACCTGCACCGCGGGCTTCAGAAGAAGAGAACACTGCAGAGCGCAGTCAGGATGCAGCGGCCCAGTCTGAAGAGCAGTGAAACGGCCTACACGTGAGTCACTGTATTTGTATACATGTAATAGTTGCTAATTGTAAAAAAAAAATAAAGTTTTCTATTTCGCGGATTTCACTTATCGCGGGTCATTTTCGGAACGTAACCCCCGCGATAAACGAGGGATTACTGTACCTTACGTTCCGTCTAGACCGTTACGCTCACAGTCTGCAGGTCTGCTTCTTGTACCAAATGTCTCTAAAAGTAGTACTGGAGGAAGAGCTTTCAGCTACCAGGCACCTCTCCTCTGGAATCATTTACCGCTCGAGGTTCGGGGGGCAGACACCCTCTCAACTTTCAAGAGTAGACTTAAAACGTTCCTCTTTGATAAAGCTTAAAGTTGGGGCTGATTTGAACCAGCTCTTAGTTATGCTGCTATAGGTTTAGACTGCCAGGGTTATCTGGCACACTGAGCTAGAGTCTGTCTCCATCTCTCCTTTAGATCTTTATGTCCCATATAATCACTAACCAGATTTCTCTCTCTCTGAGTGTCTCTGAGTCTCTTAGCTTCCCCTGGACTAATGCTGCAGATGGTCTGCTTGATTGTCCACCCCAGGCCCTGAGCTCCTCCATCTCTAAGGCTCCTCTGGACCGTTGCTGCAGACACTCTCTAGGTTGCTCTGGACTGATGGCTGCTGCAGACCTGCCTGACTCCAGCCGCATCGTCTACGATTGTCCTCCTCAGGCCCTGAGCACCTTCTTCTCTTGGGTTCCTCTGGACTGTTACTGCAGACATGAACATCAGCCTCACTGACATTAATAACATAAAACTAGAGTTGACTACTAATAGGCCTGCTGACTATAATCACATTTAATTAATTTAACATAGTCCATAATTACTCATATCCTAATCCCTGTAAACTGAATTCATTTAGTTTCACCATTGAGCTGTTGTTGTTGTTGCTGTTGTTCCTGCTGTCCCCTGTCTCTCTCTCTCACCCTCGTTCTCTACTCTCTCTCCCTCCCCCAGTGGCATGGTGGCCGTCTAGCATGAGTCTGGTCCTGCTCAAGGTTTCTGCCTGTTAAAAGGAAGTTTTTTTCTTGCCACTGCTACTCATGTTAGATGAGATGGGCCAAAACCCATCTTAGGTTGGTTCTTGATCATCAAACAATGAACGTGGTCTAGACCTGCTCTTGTTCTTTGAAAAGCGTCTTGGGATGATGACTGTTGTGAATTGGCGCCATATAAATAAAACTTGATTGATTGATTGAAAGACTACAATTTATTTAAAATGCTGCTGTCAGGCTTATAACACTTAGTAAGAGAAACAGCCATATAACACCAGTCCCTCCTGCCCTTCAGTGGCTCCCTGTGAGTTTTAGAAGAGATTCGAAGATTCTGCTGCTTCTTTGTAAAGGCTGAAATGGCTCCATCCTATATCTGTGATCTGCTAACTCCCTTTGAGCTTGATCCCAGCCTGAGGTCCTCTAACAGGGCCCTCCTCATGGTTTATAAATCTCTACTGGTTACAAGAGGTGACCAAGCAGTTGCAATTGGTGCTGGACTCTCTGCCTGAGGATATCAAACAGACAAACTCAGTGTTCCTCCTTTGAATCTCTTCTCAAAACTCTATTTGGCTCATTGGCTTTGTTGTGTGCTTGTTGCCTTACATTATTACTTAAGTATTGGATCTTACTTTACTGTAAACTATTTTAATTAGTTATTTGATTAAAATTTAATTAAACTCATTGTTTTTAAAAAATCTTAGCTATTTTAACTGTTAAAGATCCTGTGGGGAACTTTAAGTTTGTGTTAGTTTTAGCGCCCCTTGTGGACAAAGAGGCCTTTGCCTATCCAGTACGCTACATGCTTGAGTAGTGATTTATGTCAACACATCCCATAATGCTGATTTTTGATTGTCAAATGTGTCATTTATTGAAAACAGTTTAGATGAAAGTTGTAAAAACAGGGTTGTTATTATAGACTTGAACCTATCACCTCACATGGGTTTCAGACATTAAATATAAGGGCATAAGTCTTGTTCATTATAGTTTGTTAGTATTATTATTATTTTTTGCCTTTGTTCATCACTAGTTTGCAGGAGCTTTTTAAACAAACCTAATCGAAGAGTCTGAACTGAGAATTACCATACTTGACATGCTAGCAATTTCCACCCTCATTACAACTGTAACAAAGGACCAAATATCTCCATATAACATGAATAAGTATAATCCTACTGTGGGGCACTACCTGTCTCTTTGTCACTGTATATTACGTGTAACTTTAGATAAACTGATTTTGAAAACAAAATTTCACCTTTAACCCTCTCAATTTGTCCTACCCCGATGTGTCCTAATGTTCGATTTTCTTCTCCTGTTTGAGTCCATCCACTGTCCTCTCCCTGTCTTGTGCAGTCCCCTCTGCCATTTCACTCAATTATCCCATTAACACTGCACATACTTTCATCTCCTTTTGCCAGCCCCTTCCTGATGTTTCCTTCCACACAGCGATTTCAATCTGAGTGGTAAACACTTAACCTTTGACCTGCTCAATAGTCCTCACAATAGCAGCCTGCTTCTACATCAATAACCATTGCTCTTTGAACACCGTAGGGTCAATGCACCTTTTTCAACTGAAGTGATTGTAACAATTGGAGCCAAAATGGACTATCAAAATAATGACACTGAACAGTGGGGATTTATCGGACTTCAGTGCCTGTCAATGAGGTTACATACTCTCCTCTACACTCTCTGGGTCCCTATGGTGCGAGTGACCCACATTTGGAATCTATCTAATAATTTCAGTCTGTCTAAACCAGATATTCAGGGGTGTTTGAGGGCAGTCTATCAGTTGGGTTGCACAGTGGGGGTTGTTAGACCTTTCCACTTAAACTCTAGAAAACCAGCACGGTTTCAGAGTACTCCTTCACTTCAGTGCTGACGCTGGTTGGATGTATGTGTTCAGAAAAATACAGTAAAATAAAGCATTCACAACACACAAGACATGATTTAAGCAAAGAATAAGTCATTATCTTTAAACTGTTGCCATGCCTGAGTACAGCACTGAATAAAAGAGAGCTGTTATAGGCTCTAATGGTACTTCAAAACTAGCTGCCTATTTGCAAGAACATAACTATTATATAAGCTGTACAAGTCTTTATTCTGAACATTCATATTTTACACTGACTTCCTTGCAAGCATATATAAAATGGATGGTAATGGATAGTTTATTGCTAATGCCGGGGAAGTTGACATGAAAATGATGAAAAGGCACAGCTCACTGATTAGAAATGGAGTTATTATTATTCAGTCTCTTTCTCTATCATAAGATCTTGATTGAACTGCTTCCAATGAAGACAGAACATTAAACTCAAAGTCAACAGAAACAAGCTGTTTTTTTCTAGTAAAAATAACCATCTATTAATAATGCATCCACATAACAACAGTCATAATTCCCCCTCTGTGAATGTTTTTTTCTGTTTTTTTTTTTATGAAAGGAGGATGACCAGGAAGATTCAGTTCATAACCACAGTTACTCTCTGGTTATCTAAAACAATGTAAGTTTGCTTTGTTGAACAGATTTGATGCTGCTTGCAAAAATTTTAGAGGATAATTTAGGTGTGTAAAAATATTCAATATAGATGAATGGTTACACAAAGAGTGGCTTAAAGGCATGGTTGATGATTGGAAAGATTGGTAATTACCATGAACCTCATTTATATGGCGATCATGATCCTATAGTGCGATCTTCACAAAGTGAAGAGAAAAAAGAATGGAAAAAATCCGTTCACCCTAGCAGGTGCAGGGCTACAAAAACATTAGCCAATGGGAGTCATCTGTCCCGGACAGCTCCTATTGGTCAGTCTCCTCCTCCACCTCTCCATCCAATCACCTCACTGTATTCAACACACCCCTACCCGTAGTTCTGACCCGTCCCCTCCCACTTTCCCAGCCCTCCTCGGAGCTCTGAGCAGCTAAAAGTAGCATAGCAGCTTAGCTACAGGAGCTGTGATGGAGAAGAACACAAAAAAACCCTACTTCTTCTTGCCCCATCACCAAAAGTGGGATGAAAACGCAAGAAGACAGAAGAAAGGGTAGAGTCGAAGAGGAAATGTGACCAAGTAAGGAATTTAACTCGAATAAACATCCGATCATCCTTCGAGCGGTGGAGAAAGCTCCACCAGGATTTGGGCCTTAAAACAGACGATGAGACAGCAAGGTTTTTGTTGAACAGATGATTTTTGCCTTTTATCCTAGCAGATTTTACATAAATAACCCTTATTAGTCTCTGCAATGTCAACACGGTAGCTGTCCAGGCAGCTGTAGGCGGTGCTCGCGAGAAGAGCTAAAGTTTACTGCCACTAGTCACTAGCAATCCGATATGGTGAATTCTATTTGAAGCTAACATAGGATCATCGGCCAGCCAGCTTCTTGCTCTGCGAGAGTGGGTGTGTCGTGGGGAGGGCAATACAGGTTCGGAGGGCAGTTATTGTGGAGCACAGAGGGGAGAGGTTTGTATGTGGGGGGTTGGACGCTTTTTTCGAATCTGCCTCAACGGCTCAGTTGTTTTCAACTGCTTCTCAGATCGTCAACCATGCCTTTAAGATATTAAATGATGTCCAAAATTGTATCAGACTTGTGTTGTGACACACGTGGCACAGTGAAAATGAATCATGTGACCCAGACATGTAATAAAGAGGAGACAAATAAAGTGATCTTCAAGAAGAAAGAAAAAAAAAAGCAACTCCAGCTGGGACACAGGACTTATTCAGACGTTTATTCTGGTTGACAGCTGCTGGTTATATTAGTAGCGTATTAGTAGGTCCATCGCATTGGATTTTGTGACAAATTGTCAAAACAGACGTCAGTGAATATCTTCATTAACGGTTTTAAAAATAAGTCAAAATTTGAATCAGTTCATGGACTGACAAGTGAAGAATCTGACAGACAGCTGCCTGCAGTGGCCTTTTTTTTTTGGTCTGAGTAAAGGTGATTGACAGAAGGGTGAGAATGCGGGGAGTGGTGACAACCCTATCCTGAAATTAGACGTGACAGTGACATGAAAATAAAGGTGTCAGGAAACAAAAATAGACCTTCAATGGCTGAACTCCCAAACTGAGAAAGTGCATTTCAGTGAAGAATGTTTGTGATTTATTGATTTTTTTTTAAATAGGCTTTTTCGACTTTTCTTAATTGGGTCATGTCTCTGTCATTATAGAGGGTGTGAGGGTAACAGAATCACTTAAGGACATTATCTCATAAACTGTATGACAAGATGGTCAGAGAATCGGAGATTCAGAAGATTTGTTTGTTGACAGACTTCATCTCTGCCTCTCTCACTCCATTAGTGAAGTTAATGGAGCCTGAAACAGTCGACTCAACCAGCCGTACATTTTGCTGATCACATTTATTGATCCCTTTACATCCTTCCACCTCAATTCAGCCACTTTGTAGGGGTTTGACAATATGGACTTTTCGGCTGTTGTGTGTTTGCTGGGGTGCGGTGGATCATTTCAAGGGTCAACAACTTATGGTAATGATAGAGTCCTTTTTTTAAATGTTATATTTTCACAATGGTTTACCAAAACCTCAAATTATTGACAAGTTCAGGATCAAAACCTGGAGCCAACTCATGACAAATGGCTTTTAACCAACCAATAAGGATGGATAAAATGTTGCGTTAAATTGTGTTACAATTTGTTATGTAAATTCATGTTGTATTATGTTAAAGTATGTTACAATAAAATGCTATGTGTTAGCTGATTCAGACTGATTTATTGGTCCACCCCCAGTGTTTGTATCTTAAAACTGCTTTGTGTCTCAGTCCAAATTAGTCCAGAAACGGAGACTAAAAACCGTGGATATCAGGTAAGTGCAGTTTCTCTCCTTGGCTCTCTGTAGGTCTCCAGCAGACACAAATGTAACATGCACATCCTAATAAGAAGCTTCCTGAATGTTTGGGCAGAGTTGTGGACCATGTTCATTAGTTCTGTGCAGCATAACCACTCTGATATATATATAATTCCAAAATAGTATCTTATTTATATGATTGACTGTGCTGTTTTCATTAGTAGGCATATGAGGGGGACACTGATTTATTACAACCAAATGCTGTAACACTTGGCGGTACATTTTTGCGGAGCCTTACCCATTGCATTAAAATCTATATTAAGATATTGTCACTAACAGTTAAATCGAAAGTTTAAATAGCATAAATTACCCAGAAAGCAATTGAAATTAAAATATAATCCTAAACTGCATCATACACTCTCAAACCAAACCACCGCTTATGGTGAAAAACAGAGTTTAAGTGGATGAAAACTGAAATTTTATCAGCCAAACAACAAAAATGAGAGAAAACCAAATGATGGCACTTCTGCTGACAATTTATATCTGTCTTTTTGTTGACCAGCACCCGGGTAGTTGTGTCTGAACTACTGCACACTGCTGGGGGTAATGGGGCTTGAAATGGGCTGCGAGTACAACCAATTGCTCTAACTGATTGAATTAACGGAGGATTTTGCAGAGTGATTAGATCGAAGGGACAGATTTACTAACCTGGCGGTGATAAAAGAAAAGGGCTCAAGACAAATGTGAACCAAGGGTGGTTCAGCCCCTCTAAAGAAGGAAAGGACCTCGGCTGTTTAAGACAGGACTTGTAATATCAAACATAGTTAACACCCACTGATTTGTCTATCGCTGTATAAAGGCAAACAGACTGAATACAGATGTGTACAGACCAAACAGTGACTGCACACACTGCAGCCTCTGTGTTCTGGCTGGGAGCTTGTTTTCTAGCAAATGCATCAAAACAGAGGGGCTCTGGTCGAGGATAAATAAATGAGTCTCAAAGGCATTGACCACAGAGGATACTATAGACTCTCCAATTGTATAGTGTTATCTTCTAAAAAATGTAATTGTGCTGGCAACCACTGTTTCTGAACAGTTCACTGCTGGTGCTGCTGAGCATGATCAAAACCTCCAAACTGTTAATAAACCCGGTTATCATCTAATGCCACATGATCACTTTTTGGCTCACCTTTATGGATTCAAACACCTAGTCTTGAGCATTGGCTGATATCCAGTACCCTTTCATTTCAAAGGGATTGAGAAAACGGAGGTAAATCATGGAAAAACACTGATCACAGACATTTCAGTCACTTGAAACCCATTACAGTCTATGCTAGTAATGTAGTGTTGTTGCTGTTTATTGCTAGCATGCAGTATTGTACGAGCTGAACTAGCTAAATTTAAGATGAATTGATTATGATGTAAGGTCAGTGCATCTTCAGCTGAAACTACTTTATGGTTATGGCAATAACTTTGTGTGAGCTCATGAAGCTAAGCATTATGGACTGGGTACGAGATTTGATCTGGTCTTTATCATTGCTTGATAAAGTTTGGTATGCAGTCTCTGTCAGTGGCGTTTACATGGGTAGTTTTCCTCAATCTGATTGAAATCAATCGGATTAAGTAAATCTGATTCCATCTGTATACATGAACTTATGTAAAGAGATCCACGTTCAATCCGCGTTTTCATGGCCCCAGCTGAATCCGATTGTATTGTATTGTATCAACGGGAATTGTTAATAGGAACCATTGTTTTAGTTCCGTTTTAGAGTTGCTCACAGACGTGTTTGTGTGTGACACCGCCGGTTACCAGACCGAGCAGAGTAAGGAACCCTGTGTGTTGAAGCTTAATAAAAGTATAATCCAGCCGGGTTACACAGAAAGAAGTGTACGCTTCGTCAGTCGCACGAAACAACACACTTTAACACTCCACCGTCCAGTTTTATTGTTTGTTCGCCATGTTTGTTTTCGTTGGACGCACTCTGCGTACGTCACTACGTGCCTCTTATGTACTACTGAGCGCCTGCGCAGACTGAACAAGCCACTCTGTAAACCCAATCTGCTCCACTCAGCCGTATATATGGAGCGGATTATCAATCGGTGTAGACTACCTCTTACAACCCGACCCAAAATAGAATCAGATCCGAGTGAATCAGATTGGCTAAGGTGTTTATATGAGACATTTTGAATCTGACTGACCTTTCATCTGATTGTAAATAGGATTCTTGGACCCATGTAAACGGGGCCAGTGTTTGATGATCATGTGGCCTTTGAGAGAAACAGTTAACTTTTACGGTGTAGCCAGCAGCTGGTGATGACGCATTTCCTGCCAATACTTCCTATTCTATGCAACGCCATTTTTTACTTTTAACTAACAAGCAAAGATTTATGAATGAAGTGGGAGTCATGAATCATTGTATGGAATTAGGATGCTGGCTGAACTTGTCAGTTTCTGTTTAAGGAGACTTCCTTCAGCTAATTTACTGACATTGTTTTGATCTCCTTGTGGACTGCCTCCCTGCATCATGTGAAAAATACTTCTGAGACTTCCAGCCAGGAAAGCAAAAAAAAAAGAAGCCAAGAATAGACAGGATTGAATGGATTAAAAAGTAGCCATGAACCAAAACCACAAATGAAATCCAAATGATCCGCCTGCACCAGTACATTTGGCAGAAGACTATCTCATTAAACAAGAGTCCCAAGGGTTTATTATCCACCAGTGGGGGCAAAGAAGTGCCAATCACTGTCTGATTGGATCACGTTCATGTTCATTTGTAGCACGGTAATGAGACTATATCCCAGTCTCAGAATCCATACCTTGAATATGCCACCTTCTTTATATGCATATTGCTTATAGTAATATCACTTCAGTCTGACAAGGTAGAAAATACAGGCTGCATGTCCCAAACCCCTTTTCTTATCCACTCCATTCATCCATCACATTTCTGACGGGTTGTTTAACACATGACAAGGACATATTGCTTTGTTTCTACATAAATTATGTCGAGATTTATAAGACACAGAATATACAGGAGAATGGGAAGCTTGTTTTGCATGCCCAACCTAAAAATGTGTACAAGAAGGCTTGTCTTTGAAGCCTTCAGTTGTAGGTAGGTGTCACTTTGTTGACGGGAATAACATAAGTCAGTACAAGCACCCTTAAGAACAATGTGGTGTAAACAGCAGTTTAAATGTAAAGCAATCTAAAGGATGGTAAAACTGTTAAAGGCATGACATAAAAGACCTACAGCTTTACTCACTTATCTATAAGGAAGCAATCTAATGCACTGTGGACCTTTGGGATCAGGCTATTTGTCCCTTGTGCACCTTACACAGTAGTTGGTATTGCAGCTCTCTTTGCTTTCTCTCCCTCCCATGCTGACTGAATATGAATTGGCTGCTGCAGAGAACCTGAACTGAGTTGGCCTGTAGGTCAGCAAGGGCAAAGTGATGCTGTGCAATCACAACTACATAACACCCCATCATAGAGAATGTGCAAGGGCATGCATAGAACAACAAGAAAGGACGAATTAAAAACAACCCGAGCCGGTACAAGAGG